AATGTCATCAGAGGGGAAAATTTCCCATTTCTTCCTACTGTGACCCCCCCCACACACACACATACACACACGCAACTCTCCTCCCCCCTCCTGTCCAGGCCAGTTTCTCTCTCTGCCACCTTGGAAGCTGAACTGCGCCCCTCCCTTTAACTTAAACAAATTAATTAGCAATTTATACAAATACCTATTGAGATATAAAATGGAAGGCGAGGTTGTCAAAGACAATGATTAGATGGGCAAAAACTTTTGGATATAATATAGAATTGGAGAAATGGGAACAAATATGGGAAATAAATATAAAATTGACTATGTCGGCAGCATTCAAGGAAAACCAACTAAAGATGTTTTACAGATGGCATCTTCCACCAGCAAAGCTGGCCAAGATGTTCCAGAACAATTCGCCAACATGCTGGAAATGTAAAAAAGTACATGGAACATATTATCATTTATGGTGGACATGCCCAATTGCAAAAAAATACCGGTCTACAATAAGAAAACGGATCAAAGAAATAATAGACCAATCCGTAGACTGGAAACCAAAGATCTTTTTGTTGGGTATTTTAAACAGAAAATATAGTAAAGAAATATGGTACTTAATTTTACATATAATAATGGTGGCAAAAATAGCATATGCACAGTGCTGGAAAAATGAGAATATACCATCAGAGGAAGAAGTAATAAGAAAAATCCTGGAGTGTGCTGAGATGGACAAATTAACAAAAGAGATAAAAGAAAAGGAAAACACAGAGTATTATATAACATGGAACAAATGACTGGCTGGAGACTAGAAATAATAGAGGAGAATAAATATGGAAAGGTCAAAAGTGAAAATATATGTATAATAATGTATAATAATAATAATATGAATTATTCTTAGTAAGAAGTAGAACATGAAGGAAGAAAAAATGTAAATAAGAAATAACGGGGCAATAAGAACAAATATTCTAAAGAAGAATAAGGGGGGAAATGTAAATAATAGATTACCGTTACGCAATCGCTGTAAAAAAAAAAAGGGAGAGGAGTATATATTGTGTGTGTATGTGTGTTATGTTTTGCTTTGCTTTGTTTTGTTTTGTTGGTTAAAAATAATAATAATAAAAAATAACTTAAACAAGCAAGCAGGGTGTTTGGTGCAGGTAGACCCCAATTTACAAGCATTCATTTAATGACCGTTGAGTTACAACAGCGCTGAAAATAAGTCACTTTAGGACCTGCTTTCCCACCCTGAGGACGGTCACAGCATCCCCACAGTCACGTGATCACAATTTGGACGGGGCATGTATTTATGACGAGGTCACAGGTTGACCCCAAATTTGGGGCTCAACTGTCATAAGTCAAGGACTACCCGTACATCGGACTCGGAAAGGAGCTTTTTGAAGGTCTTAGCAAAAAAATAATTTCATTATGTAAAGGTGGGATGTGGGGATACAAAGCAGTGATCCGGCATCTATTACTTGCGTATAAAAGGTGGGCTTTCTTTTCTCCTTTCTGAAATCTATAAACGTCCGTGCATATCTTTTATTTTATTATTCCCCTCCAATTCATCTCGTTTCCGTAATAAACACTGCAGCAAACCTGACCGAGTGGGGAGTCAGTCTCTACATGAGCTCAGATTAAAAGGGGAAAGCAGGACAGAGGATGGAACAGCTCCTTAAAATGTTTGCCTCTGAACATTTGCCCGCTGGGGAGTAAGAAAAAACGAGGGCAACATAATGCTGCAGTCCGATGGTGTCACCCCCAAAGTGCACTACACCTTCTGTGCCTGTTCTGCAGCCCCTTCGCCTCCTGTTACCCTATTAATATTAATAATCAGCCTTTCAATAATAAAGATACAAAATGAAGACCTTAAAATGCCATTTAAAAGGCATTTGGTGGCTGCTATACCTGCTTGGACCACAGGATGGCACTGTTTTCTGTCCCTTAGCAATAGCTTTGAGGCCATCAAAAAAGGCCCAGAATGGCCTCAACGCTAACGCTATGCGACAGAAAACTGTGCCATCCTGTGGTTCAAGCAGGTATTGCACTCCCATAAAGAAATAAACCGTTTTAAGGGCACTTTAAGATTATTCTGTATCTTTATTATTGAAAGTCTGATTATTAATAGGACAACAGGAGACCCGTTTGCTGCAACACAGGCACAGAAGACGAAATCCTGCTTCAAAACCCTTAAACCTAGTTAAGAAGGCCTATGATGGCCCATTAACATGAATAAGGTTTTAATAATAAAGAATAATCTTAACATCCCATTAAAAAAAGTGTACTTGCGATCGCAGTCGAGCCCAAATGTTATGTTGTTAAGTGAAACGTTTGTTAAGTGAGTTTTGCCGCATTTTATGACCTTTCTCACCGCCGTCGCTAAGCCGGTCGTTGCAGTTGTTAAGCTGGTGACAGAGCTGTTAAGTGAATTCGCCCCCCCCCCATGACATCGCTTATCCAAAGATCACAAAAGCTGATCATGGGGCCACAAGACAGTGCCACCATCATAAGTACGAACCAGTTGCTGGGGTCAGGGATGCGGGTGGCCGAGAGGCCAATTTTTTCCCTCCAACATACATAAACAGATGCCGGGATGAGATTCGGGGTAGAATTTCTCCCTTAAAAATGGTTGCTGCTTCTCAAAACTGAACGTATCGGCTGCCTGGGGGAAGAGAAATCCCTGTCACCGGGGTGTGTGTGTGTGTCAGGGACGTGAGTGGCGAGGAGACCTCGGTTTTGTTTTTTTCAGCCGGAACACAAAAATAGACGACAGAATGAGATTCGGTGGAATTTCATGCTTAAAAACATTTTTAAAACAACCGTATCTGGCGAAAATTCCTAACCCCTAAAGCAGTGGTGGTGAACCTATGGCACGCGTGCCAGAGGCGGCACTCGGAGCCCTCTCTGTGGGCACACGCACCGTCGCCCCAGCCCTGCCTCTTCCCATGGCCCCCTCCTCACCAGCAGCCCCCCCCGGAGGAGAGTCGCCCCCGGGCACGGCCCACGCACTGCTGCGCAACCAAGGGCACGGTAGCCGGGCAGTGGGGACAAACCCTTGCACCCCATCGCGCGCAGGTGATGCTGCAGGGCACGGGCGGAGGGCGTGGCCACTATGGCGCTGCTGGGCTGCCTGGGGGATCTGTGGCGGGCCGTGGAGGGGGTGGGTGGTCCAGTGGGGGATCTGTGGCGGGCCGTGGAGGGGGTGGGTGGTCCAGTGGGGGATCTGTGGCGGGCCGTGGAGGGGGTGGGTGGTCCAGTGGACACAGTGGGGGGGATGGTTTTGGGGCACTCGGTCTCTAAAAGGTTCGCCATCACTGCCCTAAAGGTCTTTGGAAGTTGTGATCTGAACGGTGGCCGTCCTCTCTCTCCCTCTCCGTGCCAAGCTCTTCCGTGGTCCGCTCCTCTTCGGTGCCACAGGGCCAAGCGGGGGTCGTTCCTGCCCACTGGAGAGGTTACCTGACTCCCAGCCTCTCTGCGGGATGCCCCAGAGGGACGGGGTGGGGGGTGGGGGCGTCACGGGGTGTCCCACGCAGGGCAGCGGAAGGAGGCGCCCAGGCCAGTGTGCTGTTTCGTGACTAGGGGGTGCCAGGGCACGACTCCACAGAGGGCCAACTTCTCGTGGAAAACGCAAGGACTCTTACGAATTCCAGCGGGTTTTAGCAGAGAGATTTATTGCGCAGGTTCAGAAGCAATTGCAACCAGCAATTCTGAACCCCGAGAGCGAGTTCAGACTTCAGTTTTATACTTTCTTTTTCTCAGGAACAAAGGAAGACACATTGTAATACATTGGGTTCATTTCTCACGGGTATACAGTGGAGAGTTTGCTACATACATTGTGTCCGAGTGCAACGCACCTTAGGTTACTCACATACTACTAACACAGCACTATTCCAGTAATTCAGTGTTTCCCAAACTTGACAATTTTAAGGCATGTGGATTTCAACTCCCAGAATTCCACAGCCAGCAACGCTGGCTGTGGAATTCTGGGAGTTGAAGTCCTCATGCCTTAAAATTGTCAAGTTTGGGAAACAGTGCAGTAATTATGCAGAGACATCCTTATTCTAGGGCAGTGGTTCTCAACCTGTGGGTCGGGACCCCATTTGGGGTCGAACGACCATTTCATGGGGGTTGCCAAACAACGCAGTCCGCCATTTTTTTCCCCCTTTTCCTTAGCTGTGCTACTCCCTTTTATTCTATTGGTGTTTGAAAGCCAATAGAACAGACTCTCTTGAATAGAGTCTAATTCTATTGGCTTTCCAAAGCCAGTAGGAATTGTCCAGGCTGTCTCTGCCCTGCTGAGCCCGCCAAAAGCCCCAGTCTGCAAACGGTGCTGCACCAGTTGAGTAGTCCTCGACTTACGACCGGTTGGGGGTCGCGGCATTAAAAAGGTTAAGAACTGCTGTTCTAGGGATTGCTCATTATTCCACATTAAACTGACCCTGTGCCCGTGCCAATCCTCGGCGCCAATCACCCTGCCGGATTTTTGAGAGCAAACTTTCAAGAAACAATCTGTGGGGTTTGATGCCAGTCTTCCCCCCCCCTCCTTTCTCCTCCCCTCTCCCCTCCTCTTCCCCTGTCCCACTCCCTCCCCTCCCCTCCTCAATTTTAACACAGGAATCAACTGATTTCCATACAGAAAGCAACAGGAAGCGTTTGGCACCTGTGTGAGTCGGAACGCGCACCCACACCTGCAGCCACGGTGCAGCAGCTTCTCCCGTGGCTTGAGAGAGCGGGGGGGGGGCATGATGTAACCGGAGCCTGTCTGGAGCGTGGCAGGAGCCCGGGGGGGGGGGTTGCGAATGGGGGGGGGTTGCTGGCCGCTCACCACCTGCCGCCTCCGGATTTGATGAACTGCCCCTCTTCTGATCCAGGGATCCGTGGAGCGAAGCCAGCGGACACCTGATCCCCTGCAGCCTCCCGGAGCCCAGGGCTGGAGCTCCGGCTCCTCTCTGCCTCCGGCCTCGGTGGGAAAAGCCGCCTCGGGGAGCGGGGGGGGGGCATGGCTGAGTGCGGGGGGGCGCCGAAATGGGTAACAAGCAGACCGTCTTCACTCCGGAACAGCTGGACGCCTATCAGGTACGTCTGTGTGTGTGTGTGTGTGTGTGTGTGTGTCCTGGCTTTCTCTGGCAGGGCAGGCGAGGGGAAAGGAGGGGAGGGATGGGGAGGGGAGAGGGGAAGGAGGGGAGAAAAAAGGGGAGGGAGGGGACAGGGGGAAAGGAGGGGAGGGAAGGGGCAGAGGAAGGGAGGGGAGAGGAGAAGGAGGGAAGAGGAGAAAGGAGGGGAGGGAGGGGGAGAGGGGGAAAGGAGGGGAGGGAAGGGAAGGGGAAGAGGAGGGGAGAGGGGGAGGGGAGAGGAGAAAGGAGGGGAGGGAGGGGGAAAGGGGGAAAGGAGGGGAGGGAAGGAGAAGAGGAAGGGAGGGGAGAGGGGAAGGAGGGAGAGGAGAAAGGAGGGGAGGGAGGGGGACAGGGGGAAAGGAGGGGAGGGAAGGGAAGGGGAGAGGAGGGGAGCGGGGGAGGGGGACAGGGGGAAAGGAGGGGAGGGGAGCGGAAGAGGGAGGGGAGAGGGAAAGGAGGGAGAGGAGAAAGGAGGGGAGGGAGGGGGACAGGGGGAAAGGAGGGGAGGGGAGGGAAGGCGAGAGGAGGGGAGAGGGGGAGGGGGACAGGGGGAAAGGAGGGGAGGGGAGGGGAAGAGGAAGGGAGGGGAGAGGGGAAGGAGGGGAAAGGAAGGGAGGGAGGGGGACGGGGAGAGGAGAGGAGGGGAGGGGAGAGGGGAAAGGAGGGGAGGGAAGGGGAGAGGAGGGGAGAGGGGGAGGGGGACAGGGGGAAAGGAGGGGAGGGGAGAGGGGAAGGAGGGGAGAGGAGAAAGGAGGGGAGGGAGGGGGACAGGGGGAGAGGAGAGGAGGGGAGGGGAGAGGGGAAAGGAGATTAGGCGAGAGAAGAGGGGAGGAGGGGAGGGGAGGGAGGAAGGCTGTGGCTCCTTGTCAAGTGAGCTTCTCTCCAGGGTGGGGGGAGCCCAATGGGAGCTGGGGATGGGTGGGGGTGGCCGGGAATGAGGAGGAAATGGCGGGGCTTCTCCCCGGGGGGGGGGGTGTGCTTCTGGCAGGGGAACCGGGGTGGGGTGGGGGGAAGAGAGAGGAAATCTGGTCAGCCCAAGGTTACGTAATAGGTGACCCCAAATGGCCGGGCATCCAAGGGTGCTGGGCTTGCTGGCGCTCACACTGGGCTCCGTCCCGCTTTCCTCTTGCAGGACGCCACGTTCTTCACGCGGAAAGAAATCCTGAGGTGAGACTTTCCCTGCTGCGCCGCCTTCCTTCCTTCCCGTAGATCCCAAAGCTTTTTGAAGGGGGGGGGGGAATAGAAAAAGCCGATTTTCGACTTTTCCCCAAGCGGACGGGAGTGGGGATCCCTTCTTCTAGTTGTGAACCGTGGCAAAGGCTCAGCGCCTTCTCCCTTCGGCCGGCCCTTGCTCCAGGCAACAGGTGGACGAGTAGCAGCCAAGGTGTGCGTGTCTACTCAGACGTTGCTCCTCTGGAGTTCAGCCTGCTTTTTAATTCCAAGCTAAAGGGCGTAGGATTCCCGCCACAATTGAAAAGCAATTGCAATTTTAGGACCTTTTTGAACACAGATTTATCGTGCTACCAGGGGACGGGGTCTTCTCTCCCTTGCCTGGGGGGTTCTTGCCAGGGGGGGGACCCGGGTCACGCTGGGTCAGGACATGGGGAGAAGAAAGAGGAAGCTGCTCCCCCTTGCCATTGGTCCCAGCTGGGAGGGAGGGAGGTCTGCTGCTCGTGAAACCCAAGTCTGGGCCCGTTTTCATCTCTGGCACGGCAGCTGAGGCCATAAGGGCATCATGAAGGAGGCTCTGCATTATTTAATCTTTGGATCCCTTTATTCTCGTGGCTTTCAGATATACATAAAATACAAATTATTAAAGATCTGTATCGAATTACAACTTAATAGCAAAAGAAGTCATAACTAGTTATTCAGAATTAACCTCAGCTACTCCAGCCAAAATCACTCTAGTGCAGTGGTTCTCAACCTTTCTAATGCCGCGACCCCATAATACAGTTCCCCATGTTGTGCTGACCCCCAACCACTTATACATCACCGGGTGCCAGGGGCGTGGCCAAAGAAAAGGGGGAAAAAATGGCGGTCAGCCTTGTTTGGCGACCCCCGTGAAATGGTCGTTCGACCCCAAACGGGGTCCCGACCCACAGGTGGAGAACTGCTGCTCTAGTGATACTAGGGGAAAAAATGAACAGTCAAGGTCTCCAAGCTACAGTCCATCAAATTGATCAGGGAGGGAAACTCTTCAAAATGTGTTCTTCCTTCTGCTCTTCCCCGGGGCCCCCACGGAGGACATAAAGAGGTTCCTCCTCTTCTCCCCCCCCCCCGTTTTGCAACTGCCCCATTGGCGCTTTTTCATGACTTCGGCCCCCCAAAGCCCCATGTTCGAGGGTCCGAACTGCAGAAGGAAGCGACGCGCTTAGATCAGGCCGAGGGACGGTGGAAGAAGGTGCGCAGGAAGGGAAGAGGAGCCATGGGGGGGGGGGATGTTTTTGGGGAGCTCCCGTTGCTTGGGCTGGCCTCGGAAACGGAAACCCAGGCCGCCCTCTGACCTTTGGGAAACTGCCGTGCGGCCGCCCAGCCTGACCATTCCCTCACCGCAAGAGATGGACTCTTCCCTAAATGCAAAGACTTGACAAAGCATGGGGCCTCCCCCCTCAAAAAACCCCAGGACGTGGGAGGAATCCTTAGCGGTCAGCCAATCCAATCCATTCTCCCTCTCCCCCCCCCATGGGACAAATGCAAAGGACCCTCCCTGTTGTTGTTAGTTGTGAAGTCCTGTCCGATGTCACTGCCTCATGGACAACGTTCCTCCAGGCCTTCTCTCCCATCTTCTGGAGTCCATTGAAGCTCCTGCCTCCTGCTTCAGTGACTCCCTCCAGCCCCCTCCTTCTCCGTCCTCCCCTTCTTCTCTTGCCCTCCATCTTTCCCAGCATCAGGCTCTTCTCCTTCCTTCTCATTAGGTGGCCAAAGGACTGGAGTTTCCACTTCAGGATCTGGCCTTCTAAAGAGCAGTCGGAGTTGATCTCCTCCAGGACTGACCGGTTGAATCACCTTGCAGTCCAAAGAATGGAGGCCTTTGAACTCTGGTGCTGGAGAAGACTCCTGCGAGTCTTCTCCAGCACCATAGTTCAAAGGCCTCCATTCTTTGGCGCTCAGCCTTCCTTATGGTCCAACTTTCACAGCCATACATTGCAACTGGGAAAACCATGGCCTGGACTATACGCACTTTTGTTGGCAGAGAGACGTCTCTGCTTTTTAGTATGCTGTCTAGATTTGCCATAGCTTTTCTCCCCAGGAGCAAGCGTCTTTTAATTTCTTGGCTGCAGTCCCCCTCTGCGGTGATCTTGGAGCCCAGGAAGATAAAATCTGTCACTAAGGAATTTAATATGTATTTTTAAATAAAACAAGTGGACCCAGACAACACGTTGTTTACCAAGCACCTATGAATTGTAAACTCAGAAAACTAATAAAAATGTTGAATAGGAGAGGGGGGGAAAAAAAGCTTAGGCAACCACTAGATCGTTAGTTACGTTTTCACGAAAAGAAATGTGCAAAGAGATTCAATTAGGGAATAAGCTATTATAAAGTCAGATTTGCAGTAAAGCTTAGGGCACAACGCTAGGGCATCAGGCTCTTCTCCAGGGAGTCCTTCCTTCTCATTAGGTCGCCAAAGTACTTGAGTTTCCACTTCAGGATCTGGCCTTCTCAAGAGCAGTCGGGGTTGATCTCCTCTAGGGACTGACCGGTTGGATCACCTTGCAGTCCCGGGGATTCGCCGGAGTCTTCTCCAGCACCAGAGTTCAAAGGCCTCCGTTCTTTGGCGCTCAGCCTTTCTTACGGTCCAGCTTTCACAGCCATACATTGCAACTGGGATCCTCCCTACCCCATTGGGAATGCAGGATCCGGTCTGGCCCGAACCCCGGCAGGTCCGACAGGCTGATCCCCAAGTGAGCAGGGGAACCAAAATCTTAGGCTACGTTTGCCAACTCAAGGGGGTCTCCAGCTTTCCTCCGACAATCCGAGGGCCGAACCGCCCAGGGAGGAACGATTGAGGGAACTGGGTGCCTCAGGCCTGACAGAGCAGGACCAGGGGCGAAGGGACGGCAGCCTTCCAGCATTTGAGGGGCAGCCACAGAGAGGAGGGGGGGCGTCGACCTATCCTCGGGGGAGGCGTTGTGAGCGCTCCATCGCTTGAGGTTTTCGAGAGAAGACTGGACAACCGTTTGTCCGGGGTGCTATACGGTCCTCCTGCTTGAGCAGAGAGTTGGACTAGAACAGGGCTTTTCAACCAGTGGGATGGGTACCACCTGGGGTCCATTGGCCCCTGGCAGGTGGTACACGACCATCCCAGAAAAGTGGTAGCGGGGGAGGGGAATGAGCTGAACCGGTGGCAGCACCGCACAAGCCTGAGCGAAAGACGGCTGGAGCTGCAGGGCTGTCCGGGCTCAGCGGAAGCGCCAGGATCAGCACCACTTTCCAGCTGATCGGCACTTCTTTGGGACTGTCAGGGCTCAGCAGAAGCACCAGGATCAGCGCCAGGCTCCAGCTGGAGCTCAGCGCTGATCCTGGCGCTTCTGCTGAGCCCAGAAGAAGCGCCAATCAGCTGGACTGTTGCAGCCTCTCCAGGGTCTTGTGATTTACATTCAGATGCTTGGCAACTGATTCATATTTATGACGGTCACAGTGTCCCAGGGTCATGTGAAGTGACCAAAACCTGCTGCAACCACCCAGCAGACGGGGGGGAATAAAAACCAAACACCCTACCCCACCCCCACTGCCAATCCTCAACAGAAATGCTCACAACAATGAAAACCTCAGACAGGAGGAAGAGCACCACAGGGTGGGCAGGCAGGCGTCTTGCTCGGCTGCAGCTTGGGGGGGCACTTTTTTCAGTGCCACTGTAACTTCAAACAGTCACTAAGCGAACTGCTGTAAGTCGAGGACTACCTGTACTTTATCACTTTTTTCCTTTCTTTTTTTCGGGGGGGGGGGGGGGTTACCACCTTGCTAGGCGACGGGTGGTCCTCGGATGTTGCCATATCCTAAAAGTGGTACAATGGGGGAAGAGGTGGAAAAGCCCTGGACTAGATGACCTCGCAGGGTCCCTTTGGGCCCTGCGATTCTATGACTCTGAGGGCGCCTGGATGTCCATCCGCCAGCCGGGGAAGACCCGAAGAGTCTCCAACGGGGGTTCAGGGAAACCTGGTTCCATAGAAAGAGGGGTTCCGGAGAGGGGCGTTCTGGCTGACCGAGGACAGGCTGGAGGGAACCGGGAAGGTTTAATTTGGGGGCAACCCAAAGGGGGGACACGGCGACACGATTCTCGAAGGAAACTCTGCATCCCGGAACTCAGAGCAGCGCAGAATGAAGTCACGGAAAGGAACGGGCGAGAAAAAAGCTCAAGGGAGGAAGGGTCCCTCCCCCGCCCAAAGAGGCAGCTGGGCCTGGCGCTGAAGGCCCCAGGCCAGAAACCAGGAGACGAGAGTTCTAGTCCCACCTTGGGCGGGAGAGCCGGCGGGGGGGCTTTGGGCCAGCCACTCTCTCGCTCTCTCGCTCAGCCCAGCCCTCCCCAAAGGGTTGTTGTGATGGGGAAAGTGGGAGAAGGAAGCAGCCTTCATTATGTTCATAGATAAATAAATCAACCCTAAGCAGGGGGGGGGATGCCGGAGAGCAGCCCACCTCGGCAGCCTCCCTGGAGGGGGTGGGGGCGCTTGGCGAGACCCGTGCCGGGCAGAAGAGTCCTTTCTGGGCCAAGGCGGCCTGTTCCCAGCCCAAGAGGGGTGGCAGCAAGGGGGATGTCCCCTGGCTTTGGTTGGCCGAGTGAGGACAGGACCCGGCCGGCGTCCGCCAGCTGAGAAGGAGACCCCTCCCCTCCCCTCCCCTCCCCTCTCCTTCCTTCCTTCCTTCCTTCCTTCCTTCCTTCCTTCCTTCCTTCCTTCCTTCCTTCCTTCCTTCCTTCCTTCCAGGCTGTTTGACAAGTACCGGGACTTGGCGCCCCAGCTGGTGCCCCAGGACTACACCAGGAAGCCCAGCGTGAAGCTCCCCTACGAACTGATTGCCAGCATGCCGGAGCTCAAGGTTTGGGGGGGACGGGGAGAAGGGTCTTCCCTATTGGGACGGCGGCCAGTTTGGCCCTCAGCATGCTTGGGAAGGTGTGTGTGGGGGGGGAGGCAAGACATTTAGAGCTGGTCCTGCCTTGGGGGGGGGGGAGAGAGAATGCCTTCGTGGGATTCAGGCCTCTCTGCCAGGCTCGTTGCCGGACATCACAAAGGGGTTTGCCAGCCCAAGGAGGATTGAGAGAGATGGACAGGGGGGGGAGGAGAAGGTGGGGGGGGGCTCCTGTCAATCACGGCTTTTGGGGGGCTTCTGCAGGGGGCGTCCCTGCCTTCCCGAAACCTCCATTCTCCCGGGAGGATCCAAGGGGACTCCGGACTCCTCTGGCCGGGTGACAGGGATAGGATTCTTCTAGGCTCAGCCAGGAGACTCGAGTTCAAAACCTGCTGCTGATGGAACCGGGTGTGCTTAGCCTAAGGGAGAGAAGGCGCGGAGGGGTTAGCCGACTTCCCACCCCGGAGGGGCCGCCCGAGGGAAGCGGGCGTGGAGTTATTCTCTGTGGCACCTGTGGGCAGGGCTGGGAGCAGCGGGCGGAAGCTCAGCAGAGGGAGATTCGGCCGGGAGGAACCACGAGAACAATTCATCCGGGGAAGCAGCTTCCCTCCAGAGCAGTGGTTCTCTAACCTGTGGGTGGGGACCCCATTTGGGGTCGAACGACCATTTCACAGGGGTCGCCAAACAACGCAGTCCGCCATTTCCCCCCCCCCCCTTTTCCTTAGCTGTGCTACTCCCTTTTATTCTATTGGCTTTTGAAAGCCAATAGAAGAGACTCTCTTGAATAGAGTCTAATTCTATTGGCTTTCCAAGGCCAATGGGAATTGTCCAGACTGTCTCTGCCCTGCTGAGCCCGCTAAAAGTCCTGTTCTGCAAACGGTGCTGCACCAGTTCAGTAGTCCTCGACTTACGACCGGTTGAGTAGTCCTTGACCTACGACCGGTTGGGGGGGTCGCGGCATTAAAAAGGTTGAGAACCACTGCTCTGGGGGCTCCATCGCTGGAGGTCTTTTCAGGAGATGGCGCAACCCTTTGTCCAGGAGGATGCCTCCAGCGGGGAGGGGGCTAGACTAGAAGGCCTCTGAGGTCCTTTCCGGGCCCGTCTGCGATTCCACGCCTTCTCCTGCCCTCCGTCCCTCTGCAGGACAATCCCTTCCGCCAGCGCATCGCCGAGGTCTTCTCCGAGGACGGGGAGGGCAACATGACCTTGGACGACTTCTTGGACATGTTCTCGGTCATGAGCGAAATGGCCCCGCGTGACCTCAAGGCCTACTACGCCTTCCGAATCTACGGTGAGGGGGGGGAGGAGGGGTGAGGGGGGGCGCCGGGCGGATCCTGCGGGCTGCTCAGAGGGAGTTCAGGAGCGGACCGGGAGCCGCTGCGTTGTCCCTCCTCATCCAGGCCAACAAGGACACCGAGGCCTCCAGCCGGGCGCTCTGGGCCAATGAGCTGGAACTCGGGGGGGGGGGGGCGCCTTCTTTTCCTCTGCGCCTGGCTGGACGTCCCTGGAGGAAGGGCCAGGCCCCAAGCCGTCCCAGAAAGAGGGTCCTGCAGCAGAGGGGGGGAAATGGGGGGAGGGTCCGAGGGGCAGCCCCGAGCCTGGACTTGGGGGGAGCTCCGTCTTCCAGACAAAAGAGACCCTCCCTCCCTCTGTGGCCAGGGAGGGGCAGCCAAGGGTGGGCACAAGGAGCCCGCCCCCTCTCCAGCCAGCGCTGAGCCTCTGCTGGGCCTCCCTGGGCAGACTTCAACGATGACAGCTACATCTGCACGTCCGACCTGGAGAAGACGGTCAACAAGCTGACCCGCAGAGAGCTGACCCCGGAGGAGGTCAGCCTGGTGTGCCACAAAGTGATGGACGAGGCCGACCTGGACAACGACGGGAAACTCTCGCTGGAAGACTTCCAGCACATGATCGTCAGGGCGCCCGACTTCCTCAGGTAGGGAGGCCACCCCCCCCCCCCAGCCGGTTCTTCTCTCTGTGCCATTCCCCCCTCCCTCTCCCTCCCTCTCTCCCCCCCCCGTTGAGTGGGGCCCCTCCCTTCAAGCCAGCTGGGAAAGTGGGCGGGGCCGGGCTTTGGAGCACCACCGCCCAGAGACCTCTGAAGAATTTGGCTCAGGGGGGAGCCTCGAGGGACCCCGAAATAACCGGCGCCGGCTGAGGCAGAGCACTTCTGGGGGGCAAAAGGGTCGTGCCCAACCGTCCCCCCCCGCATCTTCCCCATCTTCTTCTGTGCAGAAGGCCATCCAGCAAGACCCTCGGATCCCCCTGGGGTGGGGTGGGGTGGGGGGCTCCCTCTGAAGAGGCCGGGGGCTCAAGGGGGCGGGCAGGGCAGGTTCTGGGGGGGGCTGGAAGTCGCCAAGCCTGGGGATAGCCGGCTTTGGCCGAAGCTTTTGGGCTGGCAGCTTCGAGTCACCTCCGACGGCTCCGCTCCCCGCAGCTCCCAAGCCGATCGTGCTTTGTTTCTTTAACAGCACCTTTCACATCCGGATCTGATCGAGGAAGCTGCCCGGACTCTCCAAGCCACGAGCGTGCGCGTCTCCAGGATCCCAACACCTCCCCCCCCCGTCCCCCCCACCGCGGGCGCTGAGCTGAAGAAGCAGGGGACCCCCCCCCGCCGCCCCCCTCGGCGCTCGGCTGGCTCCGCTTCAAGCAGTCCGAACCCTCTTGATGATTGGCAGGCCGAACCCTCTTGATGATTGGCAGGCCGAACTCTCTTTATGATTGGCAGTCCGAACCCTCTTGATTGGCAGTCCGAACCCTCTTGATGATTGGCAGAAAGACGCAAGAACTCCTGCTTCCCTCTTCCATTCCACAATGATGGAATGGGAATGGGTCGTGTTTTTTTTAAACTCAACCGCAGGAAGACCTTTCATTTTATTACGGCCCGGACCAGACCCGGAAGAAGAGGGCGTTCCTCTGGCGGGGAGGGGGGTTCCTTACGGGGTGGAGAGATACACTGGCTGACCACCGGTGGACCGGGATGGCGTAAGGTCTTTTGCCTTGACCAGGGGGGTTGGACTAGAAGGCCTCTGAGGTTCCTTCCAGCCCCAGGATCCCACATTCTGTGCTCAGCCCGTTACAAAGTCTTCACGCTGCAACGGGCTTTCAGCGCCAGTGCCTCAAGAAAAGGAAACGCCGGGGGGGGGGGTGGGGGGGGTGGAGAGAGGGAGACAGAGAGAAAGAGAGAGAGAAAGAGGAGAGGGAGAGGAGAAATAAAGAGAGGTAGAGAGACAGAAAGAAAGAGAGGGAGAGGAAAGAGGAGAGAGATAGGAGAGGGAGAGATAAAAGGTAGAAAGAGATAGAGAGAAAGAGGAGAGAGAGAGAGAGGTTAAAAAAGAGATACAGAAAGAGAGAGAAAGAGAAAGTAAGAGAGAAAGGGAAAGAAAGAGAAAAAGGAGAGAGAGGAGAGAAAGAGAGACAGACAGAAAGAAAGAATAAGAGAGAGAGAGAAAGAGAAAGAGGAGAGAGAAAGGTAGAAAGATAGAGACAGAAAGAGAAAGTAAGAAAGAAAGAAAGAGAGAAGAAAGAAAGGTAGAAAGAGATAGGGTTAGGGTTAGAAAGAGAAAGAAAGAAAGAGACAGAAAGAGACAGAAAAAAGAGAGACAGAAAGAAAGAAAAAGAAAGTAAGAGAAAGAGGAGAGAGAAAGGTAGAAAGAGAGACAGAAAGAAAGAGGAGAGACAGAGAGAGAAAGGAGAGGTAGAGACAGAAAGAGTAAGAAAGAGAAAGAAATAGAAAGAGACAGAAGGAAAGAAAGAGGAGAGAAAGAGGTAGAAAGGGAGAGAGAGGTAGAAAGAAAGTAGAGAGGAGAGAAAGTAAGAGAAAGAGAGAGAGAAAGAGAGGAGAGAAAGAGATAGAAAGAGAAAGTAAGAAAGAGAGAGAGAGAGAGAAAGAAAGAGAAAAAAAGAGGGGGGGGACCCAGCCGTAGGAGAAGAGGCTCCTTGCGTTCCTAGGCAGAGCCTGCATGGCACCCTGACCTGCTGGGATCCGCCTCCCCTTTCTCCAGGCATGTCAAAGATCCCCGCCCTGAGCAGATCGGATTTATTAAACCAAACCCAGCCAGGGAGAAGAAGACGGGGCAAACCCAGCCGGGAAATCCAGCGGTGGTTGAGCCCTGGCAGGTCTGCCAGCAGTGGGTGGGTCTCCTGGAGGAGGAGGAGGAAGGAGGAAGGAGGAGGCCGCTGTGTGTCAAGTCAGCATTTCCCAGGGACACTTTGAGCCCAGTTCCAAGCTCCCAGTCCTGCCCCGGGGAGGGGACCGAGTCTTTCGCCTCCTTCGGGATCAGCCGCAGCAGGGAACGTCTCTCTCTGCCTGCCCGGCATGAAGCTTCCTGGAACCTCCTGCCACATCCTCCGCATCCTCCTCCTCCTCTGGGTTGTGATGCTGCCCGACGCAGGTAGGTCTCCTTTCCCACCTTCCTTTGGGAGCGGGAAATAGGATTTTGAGAGGGGTGGGGGGGGGAGAGGAAGGCAGAGCCATCGCCCCCGGCCCCTCGGATGGAAACTGCCCAAAGGCGCAGGTGGCAAACACCCACACCCCCACACCCTTTCTCCACCCCAGGCGAGAAGGGACAGAACGGCTGGGAAGACCCATGTCCGAATAGTCGGGGCAAGGCCGTGGGAGGGATCCTTGACGGGGTACCTTGAGGGACGTTGGGGCCTTCGCTGCGGGCGGAAAGGGCGCCCCGGATGGGGCAGGCGAGGGAAGGCCCAGGGCCGAAGGGGCTGGCCAAAGACCCCACTTGGCCCCCCAGAGGAGCCAGCTTCACCCGCCCCTTCTCCCCTCCCAACGGTCCCCGCCATTTGCGAGGGAGCCATTGCTGTCCTGCCTCTGCCGAAGGGACCTGAACGGACGTGCCGGCTACAAGATGGGAGGATTCACCCTGGAAACTTTCCGTGGAATGCAGGAAAGACGAAAGGCACAACACCTGAGCTTGGACAAGCATCCGCCCAAGGCCCCCGGGTAGTGGGGGCACCAGGCCGGGCGCTGGCCCAATCCAGGTGCCAACACAAGGGAAGGGAACACGACCTCTCCGCCCCTTGAAAATGTACCGTCCTGGCCCAGCGGACCCGCCAAGTTCTGCTCAGTGCACCGCTTTTTTTTGGGCCGCACGGCAAAGCCCCCAGGCCAAATGACGGGCAGCGAGTTCCAGTCCCACCCCCGAAGCACGAAAGCCAGTTGGGGGGGGGAGGCCTTCCGCCCGGCACATCAGCCATGGGTGGCGAGCCAGTGGGTCCGCCCCAGTTGCAGTCCAAGGGATTACACTCGGTGGATCCGAACAAAGCAGATCCTGTCCTTGCGGGGGAGAACGGGAGGAAGAACAAAAAAACAAAACCCGTTTGTCGTGTGTGGGTAGTGTTTACCTGTCCTTCCTCTTTGATTCAGCGTGACCGGGCAAATGTTGCGTCGGTTGCCTTGGGATCGTGCCAAAGGAAGACGCCCAACCCTGGGAGGGGAGCCCCCTTTCCCCCCACGGGTGCCAAAGTGGAGACCCCAGGAATCTGATTGGCCACTTTGGGGGGAGCTGGGCAGGTCCTCGTCCGTCTACTTGGGGGAGGGTCACCTCTATGGGTGGGCAAAGGGCCCTTCGGCACGGGCCAAAAATTTGGGGAGGGGGGAATCCTCCTGGGTGGGAGGTCCTTCCGTCCCCTGGCTTAGGTGGGCCCCGGGGAAGGGGAGGGCTTTCTCTGGAGACAGGGAGGGTCAATTTGGGTCTGATATTATGGTCTGGCAGTGGATCCCTCCTGCCACAGACTGGGAGATAATGGTGAACGGCAGGCTGCCACAGACTCCCTCGTGGTGGGTCAAAGCAAAGGCAGGGAACGTCATCCCAGTTCAACGCCGGAGGGGAATATTGCAAGGGGAACAGAGACGGTGCCTAGAAATGCTTCTCAGGAGTAAACAACCGCTACTCCGAGGTGTAAGTATGGGTACGAGCAATTACACACACACACTGTGTCTGTTTCCCAACCAGGGGCCCAACAAGCCTCTTGCTCGGCTCGCTGTGGGGGGATCCTGGCCAGCTGCTCGTGTCGCGCCACCTGTGAGAACCTGGGAACTTGCTGCCCGGATTACTGGAGGTTCTGCGTGCGGATCTCGCCCGCCTCGGGCACCCTGCTGGGCGGGAAGGATTTCACCGTCCTGAACGTGACGTTGGAGACGGGCGTCCCGGTGACCTGCAGGTGAGCCGGGAAAAGCATTTTGTGAGGCGGTCTAGCCAGGCTGAGCCGGAATGTGGTTAATGGGAGATAACTCAAAAGTTGAGGTAGCTGACGCAGGAAGAGTTGGGGCGGCCTCAGAGCCGCAGACTCCAGGGGTCGGGAGGGACCCCACTACACGGGAGCCCCCCTCGCTCTGCGCCAGACAAGCCTCCCTTCCGTCTTTCCTGGGAAACGGCCACCGACGGAGCACCCGGAACCCCAAGAGGCAGGCTGTCCCTCCGCAGGGTACCGATACGAATAGAGCTGGAAGGGAGCTCGGAGGTCATCCAGTCCAGCCCCCTACTCAAGCAGAAGACCCTGACAGAATCACAGAAGGACAGAGCTGGAAGGGACCTCGGAGGTCATCCAGTCCAGCCCCCGACTCAAGCAGGAGACCCTGACAGAATCACAGAAGGACAGAGCTGGAAGGGACCTCGGAGCTCATCCAGTCCAGCCCCCGACTCAAGCAGGAGACCCTGACAGAATCACAGAAGGACAGAGCTGGAAGGGAGCTCGGGGGTCATCCAGTCCAGTCCCTGACTCAAGCAGGGGTCCAGGACTGCCCCTCAGGGACAGGAAATTACTCCTCACTTGGAATTGTTCCACCCTTGGGAAAGTTTCCCTTTGCTAATTCTGTCCTCCCTTCCAATATTAAAATCTCGGGGCGGGGAGGGGGCTTCTTCACCCCTGGTGGGCCTCCGCCCAGATTAAGGCTAAGCCGGAAGCTCAGATCCAAAGGGCTCCTGGCCGCTGCATTGAGGTTTCTGCCGGGTCTTTTGAAAAGGCAGCCCCCCCCCCACCGGGGAGCCCTTTCGGGATGCTTAGGGGGGCCTTTACTGGGTCAGGGGAGGGTGGTTTTCTTTGAATGTTACTCTTGCGTTAATTGAACTATTGTACTCAGGTATGTAAGCTAATCACTGTGGGTCGAGATTGGAGCAGCAGATAAGCCTAATAAAACAATAAATGGCAACAGCCATGAGCTTCCCCCACCCCACCCCCCTCCCTTGCTCCCGCCCAGCCAAGAAACAGTGCCAAGAGCCACATCCTGGCTAGTGCACTTGAGCTGAACCCTCTCCAAAAGGAAGGAATGAAAGGAGGGGGGTTTAAAAAAGACCCCCAGACTAAACTCCTGGGCTGCATTAACAGAGGGATAGAATCCAGATCAGGTGAAGTGTTACTACCACTTTACAAGGCCTTGGTAAGGCCACCCTTGGAATCCTGCATCCAGTTCTGGTCACCACGATGTAAAAAAGATGCTGAGACTCTGGAAAGAGCACAGAGAAGAGCAACAAAGATGATCAGGGGACTGGAGGCTAAAACATATAAGGAACGGTTGCTAGAATTGGGCATGTCTAGTTTAACGAAGAGAAGGAGAAGGGGGGACAGGATAGCAGTGTTCCAATATCTCAGGGGCTGCCATAAAGAAGAGGGAATTAAGCTATTCTCCAAAGCGCCTGAAGGCAGGACAAGAAGCAACGGGTGGAAACTAACCAAGGAGAGAAGCAACCTAGAACTAAGGAGAAACTTCCTGACAGTGAGAACAATTAATCAGTGGAACCGCCTGCCTCCAGAAGCGGTAAATGCTCCAACACTGGAAGTTTTTAAGAAGAGACTGGACAGCCATTTGTCCGAAATGGTGTAGGGTTTCCTGCCTGAGCAGGGGGTCGGACTAGATGACCTCCAAGGTTCCTTCCAACTTTACTACTATTACTATTACCTCCAGGTGTTCTGGAAAAGGAGGCAGTCCTACCAGGAGAGGCAAGCTAGCTCCTCCCCCCCCCTGCATAAGGGGAGGGGAGGGAAAACACCATCAGGCTGGCAGGGTTCATGAAAGCCCAGTTTGAGTCTTCCCGTGCAGTCCGGACAACCCCGAAAGGCTGTTGTGAAGCTGTTCTGGAGGAACAGAAATTGCAACATGGAAAGTTTTCCCGTCTGAAGAGCTGGAAGAGAGTCAGCTCAGCCACTGACCAGGGCCTCTGCGTAGGAGAGGAGGACCAGAATGACAGAGTTGGGAGGGACCGTCAAGGTCTTCTAGTCCAGCCCCCTGGTCAAGCAGGAGACCCGAGACCAGTGAGGGCGAACCTTTTAGAGACCGAGGGCCCAAACCGCAACCCAAACCCACTTGTTGATCGCAAAGTGCCAGGGCCGCATCAGCATTGTGGTGCCCTCATGGCCTCTGAATGCCGCCTCTAGCATGCAAAAACCGGGGGCGCAAAAATGGGCCACCGTGCTGCAAGGCGCAAAAATGGCCATGCCGTGGGGTGCAGATACAAGGTGCTGTACCATGCAAGAACAGGGCAGGGCTAGTGAGTAGCACGCAGGCACTGGCCCCGCCCCATTTGCAGCACGTGTGTGCTCGCGGCCCCGTGCACACATGCACGCATGTAAAATGCTTCCCCCTCCCTTTTCTTCCAGTCCACCAATCGACAATGGTGGGTGAGCTCTGCTTTACCACCTCTACTCCAGCTTGCTAGTCGGTCGCTTCGTCTCCTTTGTGCTGGGCGGGGCTCCTGCTCCGGGCGGCAGTGGTGGCCTGAGGCACCTGCTGCTGGCTGCGGTGGCGCGTGTGCCAACAGAGAGGGCTCTGAGTGCCGCCTCTGGCACGGGTGCCATAGCTTCACCACCACTGCCCTACACTGTTCCAGATCAACGGTCATCCAACCTGTTCTTGGAAAGCACCCACAACTTCTGTTCCTCTGGTTAATTGTCCTCACTGTTAGGAGATGTCTCCTTAGTTCCAGGTTGCTTCTCTCCTAGGTGAGTTTCCATCCTTGTCCTGCCTTCTGGGGCTTTGGAGAATAGGTGCCACCCTCCTCCTCTTGTATAAGGCAGCCCCTCAGATACTGGAAGACTGCTATCCTGTCACCCCTAGGCCTTGTTTTCCCTAGAGTGGACCTGCCCAATTCCAGCTACCGTTCCTCGTGTGTTTCAGCCTCCAGTCCCCTGACCCTCTTTGTTGCTCTTCTCTGCCCTCTTTCCAGCATCTCAACATCTTTTTTGTGTCGTGGCAACCAAACCTGGATGCCGTATTCCGAGTGTGGCCTTACCGTCAGTTCTCGTGATCTCGATTCTGTCCTTCTGTTAATGCAGCCGAGGACCAGGCTGGCTTTTTTGGCTGCTGCTGCTGCACATGGCTGCCTCACCTTGAAGGGATCGTCCACTCGGACTCCCAGATCCCTCTCGCAGTTACTAATACTACTAGTAGTACTACCACACTGCCGCCTATTCTGAAAGGAGGTCCAAAAGGCGGAGGGGTCACTGGGGATGAACAAAAGGCCAATGTGGGTCCCCGTGAGGTTTCCATCCGTGCCAGCGGACTAGGCAGCTCTACCCAGCCAGGCAGACAGGCGGGCCTGGAAGGCAGTAGGTGCCCCGGGTGGTGGGAGAAGGAAAAGGGGCCTTGGAAGAACATCGAGGTGGCTCAGCAGTTAGAGTAAAGTACTGCAGGCCACTTTAGCTGACGGTGTTCAGCAGGTCAGCGGTTCAAATCTCACCGGCTCAAGGTTGACTCAGCCTTCCATCCTTCCGGGGTAGGTAAAATGAGGACCCAGACTGTTGGGGGCAATGGAAATATATATATACATTGCTTACTGGTGTACACCGCTTAGAGAGTGCTTGCACTTAAAGCGGTATATAAGTCTCATAAATAAATAAATGAATAAATAAAATAAAATCCGGAGGGCAGTATAGAGAGAGGTGAAAAGGAAACGAAAGAGCCACGAGGAACGAAGGCCCAGCACAGCAGCCTTCGGCACCACGGCCGGGCGAGGTGTGGAGAGGCTCGCGCCGAGCAGGCCTTCCGATGCCGGGGTTTCACATCTCCAGGGGAAGCGGAGGAAAAAAACAGGGGGGTCCTGGTTGGGAAAAAGTTCCCTAGAGAGTCCCGGGACCCCCCACGACTGGCACGACTCCGATCCGTGTAGGGACAGGCGCATCGTGGCACCTGAGCTCCCCTGCCAGGTGTGGGTGTGAGGTGTTCCCTGAGGGTGGGCAGTTCCTTCCCCGTTTGGGGGGCGTCCCCAGAGGACCAGGAGCGGCCCAACACCACAAGCAGGTGTGGGGAAAGCGGCTGTCCTTGTGTGGTGGTGGGGGTCAGGGGGGCCTCCGGAAGAACTGCAGAGCGCTCAGCGCCAGAAATAAATCCCTGTTCCTGCCTTAACTGTAAGTTTGAAGTGTGTATCGCTCTTGTTTCTATTGTGCATTGTTACGTTGTATCATTGTATTGGCTTCAGCCGCGGTTCTTTCACACCCCTTGGAGTCAGTTGTCCGAAACGGTGTATATCAGCGGTTCTCCACCTGTGGGTCGGACCCCATTTGGGGTCGAACGACCATTTTACGGGAGTCGCCAAACAACGCAGTCCGCCATTTTCCCCCCCCCTTTTCCTTAGCTGTGTTACTCCCTTTTATTCTATTGGCTTTTGAAAGCCAATAGAAGGGACTCTCTTGCATAGAGTCTAATTCTATTGGCTTTCCAAAGCCAATAGGAATTGTCCAGGCTGTCTCTGCCCTGCTGAGCCCGCCAAAAGTCCCGTTCTGCAAACGGTGCTGCACCAGTTGGGTAGTCCTTGACTTACGACCAGCTGAGTAGTCCTCGACTTACGACCGGTTGGGGGTCGCGGCATTAAAAAGGCTGAGAACCACTGGTCTATATAAATTCAGAAATAAGGTATAAACAAAGGACAGAAGGACAAATAGGCCACAAGCCAGAAGCCAAACCCTTCAGGGACCCCCGCGGGAAAAGCCCCGCGGAGAAGGGAAAGGAAAGGAAAAGCGCCATGGGGGAAAGTGAGGGAACGTGGTGGAAATGGGGGGAGGGGGAGGTGCAGGTCAGGTGGGCGTGGGAATGCAGTGCTTCTCCGGACAGAGAAAGGGGGGGCTCGCATGCCGGGGGTCTGCCCTAATCCTGGCATTTGTTCTCCACCCGACAGGTTCGCCGGGGCCACCCAGACCCAGGGATACGTCGACCGGGACGGGCGGCTGCACTGCGTCTCCCCTTTGCTCTATGAAATCGGCCTGGTCAGCCTGGAAATTTCTCTGGATGGCGGGAAGACGTTTCCCTGGTCGGGAACTTGGACTTCAGGCGAGCAGTTTCTCTGCTTTTCCTCATCTGCCCGTCCAGGCTCCCCGCCTCCCCTTCTTCTAAGGAAGCCGTGTTCGGAGGCCACGCGCAGCAAGCTGGGATAACGTCGCGTGCGTTTGGCCATGCAGGAAGCAACTAACCAGAGCATCTTCTGCTTCGCCCCGCAGTTCATCACAATAAGGTTCCCCCTTCCGAGAAGAGCACGCTGGTCAACGAGACCAAGTGGCAATACTATGGCACCCCGGGCACGGGGGGATCCCTGACCGTCACCTGGAACTCCCACGTGCTGCCCTCCAGCCACGTCCACCTAGAGGTTTGGGGATATCACGAAACAGGTACCCGGCTCTCGTTCCTGCAGGCCGCGTTCACTGTGCGAGGAAGGCCGTTTGGGTGGAGAAGGGGCCACCATCAGATGTTCGCCTTTCCAGCTGATGGAATGGGACATCCGTGGAAGAAATCGGCCTGGCTTGGCAGCTTCCAAAAGCTGCCGGGTCGACCAAAAAGAGGGCCGCAGAGAAGCCCAGAGGGTTTGCCAGGCGTCTCGGTGGGCGTGGATGAGGTGGCCTAGGTAGGGAGTGGAGCACCTGTGGCCGGCGGTCACACTCCACGTTTCCACCCTGAGCTACGCCTGTTTTCTTCTGGAAAGAGCCAGCCGTAGCGCTGCCATCCGGCGGATTTTCAGGTTTTTGCTGCCTGTATCTGGCAGCCCTGGCGCTCGATCTCTGGCAGAGCAGAAAAACTGAGGGCCACATAAAAAACGACAAGCCAGAGGCGGCTTCGGAAGGGCCGTCCCAAACTCCGCCTCGGCTGTGCCTCAGAGGGAAACCAAGTCTGGCTGCAGCCATCTTGAGGCATTTGCCTTTCCGGAGAGGAGCTGCCGCCGCAGAGGAAGCATGCCGTCCCCTGGCCCTCCCCGTGGCCCTTTCCCATTCCCCCCCTCAGGTCTCATGGGGCAGGGAGTTCCAATCCCAGACAGGCGGTCCCACCAGTAAAATGGCCGCTGCAATGAAAGGCTTTGGCTGTCTCTAACCAACCCCTTGAATTGCACCGGGAAGCCTGTAGGAAGCCAGGGGCAGCTTGTGATCTAGTGGGGTTTACTTTGTGTGGCACCCCCCCCCCCAAAACTGCTGCTGCCTTCTAAGCCAATGGCAGGCTCCAGGTGGCCCCCCACGGCTGCCCCAGGTAAAGTGCGTTGCAGGAGCCCAAGAGGGAAGTGACCGGTGGCCACCAGGAGGTCTCCTGGTCAAGGAGCGGGCCCTGCGGGCGGCAGAAGAGGGAGCAGTGCAAAGGCTTCTGGGCCACGGCCACCCTCCGCCCTGCAAGCAGGAGCAGAGAGTCCGAACGGGCCTCCAAAGTACACACTGCTAGCCCCATCTGGCATAACAACAGCAACGCGACAGTTCCTCATCACCAGGGAAGGCCGTGGCACGGCTTCAACGGCTCTAAAATGGAACCAGAGATGGATGGGAAAGGGGCTGTTTTGTCGTCAGAGCCGTCTGGTCGAGCCTCCCGTCCCCAGGAGCCGACGGCTGCCAGGCCTACAGGCCTCCCCTCTCCTGCCACCGGCCCCGGCAGGACTGGGAGGAGAAGCCCTCCCGTCGAGAGAGGGGCAGAGGGCTCTCGCCAGGCAGAGCCAAGGGTCTTAGGCCCAGGGACCTGCCTGGGTGGAAAATGCAGCTGCCCGGCTAAGGGTTTCCAGGGGCCCCCACTGGCCCAGCTGCGGCTTTTCTTTCGCCCAGGGGGACACTGGGGGGGGGGCTGTATCCAGCAGCCTCCCCCTGCGAAGACTTGAGGGTGCAGCTGGTGGGATTATTCAAGTCTCTCCCTTCCTTCCTTCCTTCCTTCCTTCCTTCCTTCCTTCCTTCCTTCCTTCCTTCCTTCCTTCCTTCCTTCCTTCCTCTTCCTTTTCCTTCCTTCCTCTTCCTTTCCTTCCTTCCTTCCTCTTCCTTCTTTCCTCCCTCCCTCCCTTCCTTCCTTCCTTTTCCTTCCTTCCTTCCTTCCTTCCTCCCTCCCTCCCTTCCTTCCTTCCTTTCTTTCTTTTCCTTCCTTCCTCTTCCTTCCTTCCTCTTCCCTTCCTTTCTTCCTTCCTTTTTCTTTCTTCCTTCCTCTTCCTTCCTTCCTTCCTTCCTCTTCCTTCCTTCCTCCCTCCCTCCCTTCCTTTCTTCCTTCCTTCCTCTTCCTTTCCTTCCTCTTCCTTTCCTTCCTTCCTTCCTTCCTTTTCCTTCCTTCCTTCCTCTTCCTTTCCTTCCTTTCTTCCTCCCTCCCTCCCTCCCTTCCTTTCTTCCTTCCTTCCTCTTCCTTTCCTTCCTTCCTCTTCCTTTCCTTCCTTTCTTTCTTTTCCTTCCTTTCTTCCTCTTCCTTCCTTCCTTCCTCTTCCCTTCCTTCCTCTTCCTTCCTTCCTTCCTTCCTCCCTCCCTCCCTCCCTTCCTCCCTTCTCCAGGCAAGCCTTATTCTGACCACTGGGCAGCTGAGTGGAGGTATCTCTACTCCCTGGCGCGGAACTACCCCAACGAAGGACGCTTCGCCTTCCTGCCTGCTCCCTCCGCTCAGCACGGGGGCTGGGAGGTGGGTGCGCTGAGGATTTCAGCCCAGAGTTCCTTGGAAGGGCAGCCGTGAGTATCCCAGGAGGAACTGCAGGGCAGGAGGGACGTCAATGCACTCCCAACCCGGACAGGCCAGGCGGGCGTGGGAAAGCAGGGAGGGCGGCTACGCCTGGCTGGTTGCAACAGGCTTCTGGCACGGTCTCCTTTCTGTCAAGCAGAAATCAGCCGATCCCACTTAGAAGATGCCTCTCCCAGTTTCTTCCTGGTGAAGCAATTCAGCTTCTTTCCTGAGGCTAATCCCCACCTTGGTTTCAGCAAAGAGGTGCCCGTTTGAACGGCTTCCTGATCCGGATTAATCCCCAAAGGTTAACCTGGGTCAGGCCCCGTCAGTATTTGGTAGGGAGGCCACCGGGAAACGGCAGAGCTGTCCGTAGACGGAGAACTAAAGACAGCGGCATTGGCCGATCGTGTCTTCTTCTCCAGACAATCGCGGGGACGTCTGGGATGCCCCTACGAGCCGGGCTCCGCTCGAAGGAGTCATGACTTGCCTTGTTTTTCAGCATAAAACGCATCGTGCAAACTCAACAAAGGCCCTTTCCTAGTAGAAACAATGCGTCCCCGTGAGCAGATTCGCTTTTGCCCACTTCGTCTCCCGGTGACTCTTCCAGACTTTTCATTCGTTCTCCCTCTGGTTCTCCCCAACGTCAGGAACGTGGCTGCCATCTGGAGCACGGAGCACGCCCTGGCCTGGCACCTGGAGGAGGCCTTCCGGAAGGACTCCGCCACCTGGGCGGCCGCCAAGTGCCGGCAGTGGGACAGGAAGGAGGCCGACCTGCCCAACTTCCTGGAGGAGATCCCCGACTGTCCCTGCACTTTGGCCCAAGCCCGAGCTGACTCCGGCCGCTTTCATGTAAGTGCTCCGGGTGCCCGGAGAGGCTCCGCTTGTGGCAGGCGTGGTTCCAGGCTGGCCGCGAAGGCGAGGTCTGGTCACTCTGCTCACAAGCCCTGGGAGGGGGAAGGCTGGGGTGGTGCCTTTGAAGGGCTCCGGGTCAAAGCGGAGATGCTACGGGATGACCGTCCCTTTCCTTTCTGGGGCTCCGCCTCCCAGAGACCCTCCCCCATACACACTCATGATCGAACCCTGAGAATTAATTGCGGCAGCTGGGGGTGCATGGGTGGGGGGCTTCCTAATGCTGATCCGCCCAGCCAGGTAGCCCGAGGTGGGGCCAGAGCAAGGAAGAAGATGGCCGAGCCCTGTGAGAGGTCCCTTCGGGCTGCAGGAGGGGAGGAGCCAGGCTCACACGGGGCCCTCCCACTCGTGGCCCCATCTGGGAACGCAGAGATGAGCCTCTGCCCTTCTGGGAAAGGTTGGTTCACACTAGGAGGTGGCTGGCCGGGCATCGGGCGGGTTAGGCCGGATCCTCATTACCCAAGCATTGGTTTCCTGTTGGCACCAGCCCCAGCTCAGCTCCACACCCGCTCTGGAGCATGGCAGGAGGAAGCGGGGCGGCCAGGGACTCTCCGGGAGGTGTGGGGGGGTATCGGGTGGGAGGCTCGCTTCCTCGTGGGTCACTGGACCAGCCGGTTGCGCAGGTGTCAAAACTCCCTCCTTGCGTGTGTGCCGGGATTCAGGGCTGACGGGCGGCGCCGAGCGATGAGGGCGCCAGGCTAGGAACCGGGCGGCTGGGAGTTCCAGTTCCACCCCAGGCAAGGGGGTCTCTCTGGGCCCCGTCCGTTTCGCGGGGTTGTGGCGTTGTGGGGAAACCAGGAGGAGGCGGAAGGAGCAGCGGGTGTGTTCGTGGCCTTGCGTTACTCACGAAGTAGCAAAGGTGGGATACAAATCGAAGCAAAGATATAAACGATTACTCTCAAATCACGTCCAAGACCCGGCTCTCCCTCCGCCCCAAGCAGGCTGGCCCTGGAAGGCAGAGCCAGGTGGGGCCAAAGGGGGCAGGGGGTGCCCCACATCAGCTCGGGGAGGGGGGGTGAGAGGCCCTGGGGCCGATTCCCGTAGATTGCGGCAGCAGCGGAGGGATGCTCTGTTATCCACATCAGATGGTGCCCAGCCCGGTGCTGCATCGCTCGGGAGAAGCTGCTTTGGGCCGGAGGGACCAGCCGGAACCTCGTCCGAAGGCCCTTCCGAGGGGGGGAGGGAGGCAAGTGAGCCAAGGGGGCCCCCTGGCTGTCTCAGCCCCTCCGGGTGGTACACTGGGCACCGCCGTGCCCCAGAGCCTGCCCTGGCCCCAGCCTGCCCTGCCCCCAGCCTGCCTGCCTGCCTTGGAAAGGGATCTCAGCCGATGCTCTCTCAGTGCAATTCCTGGGGGGAGAGGGGGGGCAAGGCCTGGAAAAGGATGGAGGAGGAACTGCTCCCCCCCCCCCCCCCCGATCACTGTAGAGGGAGTCGCCCAAGGCAGGACGTGCCGGTCACGTCCCGGCTGGGGGGGATTTTCCAGATACCTGACCCAAAGCATGAAGGGGTCCTTCCCGGCCGGAGGGGGAGGGTGGGGTTCTGCCGTTTCTACGTGCCCGTCAAACCGTCGGTCTTAACTTTGACAGCTGAATCGGGCCGCCCAGGGTTTTTGAAATCTTCCCCGTTCCTTTCTGCCAGATTTAATCGCATGTAGGCCGGCCGGTTGCCAAAGCTCACCCCACGGCAGGCGGGGGCGAAGGGATCCAACCCTCCAGTTCGGGGCCAGGAGAAAAGGGGGCAAAAGCTTCAGCCCGCCGTGGGGAGCAAGCAGGGGAGGGGCCATCTCTGCCAGGTGTGAACTTCAGGTGGCCAAGCGGATACAGGCAGCCAGAAGGCGGAGGGGCCCTTTCGCTCCTCGGCTGCCCTGTTGGAAGACGCCCCTTCCCTGCCCTGGCTCTGGGAAGCCCCCCCCCCTCCCGGGAGGTCTGGAGAGCAAGTGACCCCAAAACATCAAGGAGCCCCCTCCAGCCCTGCGGAGCGTCCTCTGGGCTCAGGGTCCGTCCACGAGAGCTTGTGGATGGTGGCAGAGGCTTTAAAGGGGCTGGCTCAGGGGTCTTCCGACTGGGCCCTTTGATGACTTGGGGACTTCCACTCCCAGAATTCCTCGGCCAGTGTGCCTGGCTGAGGGATTCTGGGAGTTGAAGTCCCCCAGTCCCCAAAGGGCCCAGTTGGAAGACCCCTCTCTTAAAGCATGCTGGCTGAGGGATTCTGGAAGTTCACATTGAAGTCCAATTGGAAGACCCCTGTTCTATATATTCTATATTGAAGACCCCAGTGGTAGCTGGTGAATCTCACACTTTTTTGATGGAAATTGTGGAAATGGCAAAGGTGACCAGTCTGGTCAGAGGGGAAAAAAGAAACAAACAACGGAGACCTTTTTCAAAGACTGGAAACCTTGCGTAGATATTTATTTATTGTGTGACACATTTATATCACGCTACAATAAAAGCGCAAGAGATAAAAATACAAGATACGAAATAGAAACTCATAAACTTAAGTGTAGAGGACAGTTGAAGTCCACGAGTCATAAAAGAGCTAAGGTTGCTTACCCCTGGTCTACGGGGAATAAGTAAATAAGCCTTGAATCTTTTTGTTCTTTAATTTCTGAAACGAAATTAGACAACCGACCGAGTCAGTTTCCAGAGATTTTGACCAAGCCGCCTCTTCCCGTTTCAGACCGACTACGGGTGCGACATAGAGAAGGGCAGCGTCTGCACCTATCACCCCGGGGCAGTGCACTGTGTCAGGAGCGTCCAGGCCAGGTGAGGCCCCATTTCCTCAAGGCACGAAGTCAACCTACACCACACACACACACACACACACACACACACACACACACACACACACACACACACAATTCACGTGTGATTTAGCGCAGCATACAAAGAAATAAAAACAATCCAGGGCCACAACCTATCAAGAAGAAAAGAGTAACGGAACCCATTGAGCACCACCTCTGCTGGGTCTTCGGGGCCTTCCCAGGGGCTGGGAGCATATGAGGGGGGGGTGTCCTTGTCCCCTCCCCAAAATGCCTCTTGGTGTTCTCGGGACGATTTCCGACCGTCTCCCCTCCTGTCCCCCAACAGCCCCCGATACGCCGCGGGGCCGCAGTGCTGCTACGACGCTTCCGGTGCCCAGGTGCTCACGGGGGACTCCATGGGGGGCAGCACCCCAGACCGGGGCCACGACTGGGGAGCCCCTCCCTACAAGAAGCCCCCCCGCGTCCCGGGCTTCTCCCACTGGCTCTACGACGTCCTCAGCTTTTACTACTGCTGCCTCTGGTCCCACCACTGCGACGTCTACTTCAAGCACCGACCCTCCAGTGGCTGCCAGAGATACCGGCCGCCCCGAGCCGGTGCGTTCCCTGCGTCTGGGCTGCTCCCCCCCCCTCGATTCAGACGGACCTGGCTCCCCCGACAGGTCGCCTCTCTCACCTGGGTGTCTGCGCTCGGACCGGGGCCTGAGGAGGGAGGGGCCCCCCATTTCCCCTCCCTTCCAGCAATACTGCCCTGGGGGGGGGGTTCCTTTTCAGCTGGGGTTTGCCACCAGCGCCCTCCGGTGTCCTCCCACCCTTTGGGTATAGATCCTTTGCCAGGGGCCCCCACCCCAGAGGCTGCCCCCGGCCTCAGAATCCGATGTGGAGGCCCAGACCGAGCTCGCCTTGAAGAAGAAAAGCAGGAACGGGCCTGCCGACCTCAGGGAAGGAAGGCTGGGGTTGGGGGTGGGGGGGGGAGACCGGGGCGTCTCGTACAAGAGGGGAGCCCCATTGGTTGGTCGGCCTGTCCAGATCCTGTGCCCAGACCTCACAGCCATGAGGCGGAGTCCCTGCAGTGCAGGGAGGTCTCTGTTTGCAGAAGGGGGCTCGCTTGAGGGGCCACGTCCGGTGAGGGACGGGAGGGGAAGGCCAGAGTTTTGGGGGGGAACCTGAAGGAAGCCCAGAGGCCGCTCTGCTCTGCAGCCGAGAGAGGGACCCGGCTTGGATGAGACTTGCAGAGGCCCTCCACCCTTCGGGCAGCAGGGACCGGTTCCCCGGAGAGAGGATTTTCGGCGGACCGGGGGGGGGGGGCTGGTTTCGTGTGCTGCTTGCATCCTGCGGCAGGAGCTTCGCTTGTTTGCGCAGAACGGTTGCTGGCCTGCCGTGGCCCAATGCCGGTCCACAGATGGGGGGCTTGGGGACCCCTGGATTAGACGAAGGGCGGAAGGGACTCAGCTGGGCGGATTGAGCCTCTTCTCCACCGGTCCCCCGTCGGGGGCAGGGGGCTCCCCCAGGCCTACGGCGTTGGCCCCTGGCAAGGGGGTGGGGTGGGCTCTCTCAAATGCAGAACTACTGTCAGGGGAGCAGGTCAGGCTTCCCACCCTCTGCTCCAGTTTGTGTTTTTCTCCACAGCTTCGGCGTTCGGCGACCCCCACTTCCTGACCTTCGATGGCCTCAACTTCACCTTCAAGGGCCTGGGCGAGTACCTGGTGCTGGGATCCAAGCAGACATCCCTGAGCGTCCAAGGCAGGACCCGTCGGGCTCAGCTGCTCAACAGAGCGCCAGGTGCAGGTCCCCCCTTTTAATGGCCGCATTAAACCGCCACCAGTCATTGTCCACAGAGGAGGAGGAGGAGCCCACCATGGGGGGGCCTTGTGTCCTTGTTCTGCCCCGGATCAAGGCCGATGTCCTAAGGCTTCTAACCGGGAGGCCTTCAGGTCTCGGGTGGGTGGGTTCCCTAGCTTCCTCTCCCCCCCCTTCAGCATGAACTGCCGGGGGGGGGGACTGAGAGCCCCAATCCCCCCCCCTCCTTGGCCTGTTGGGCCGACCAGGCTGGGCTAACTGAGCGAGTCTTTATCCTGGCCAAGGGCTGCCCTCCCCGCAGGCAGGCGTGGAGGGGCCCCTGGTCAGCCAGGCAAAGTCCGGCCAGCCTCCGGGGGTGGACGGGTGAAGGGGAAAGGAGAAGTCAAGGGCCCATGCGAGGCCCTGCGTGAACTAGGACCGTTTATGCTGAATTGATATCTCAAGCCCCTTTCTTGTTCTCCTCGGTTCTTCTCTTGAGACTAAGAAATGTGTCTCTAAAGATCAGATCTCTTTCCCTGCTTAGCCACAAGGCCCGGAGTCCCTTTTGAACTTTATCTGGGCTCCTGCCTTACCCGGTGGAGATTTTATTTCGTTAATTCCCTCCCTCCCCCCCGGCCTGTCTAAAAGGGAAAGTTAAGTCTCAGTTCAGGTGAAAACCTTCAGGCGTTGAGGGCCAGAACCCTAGGACAATTTGCCGCTGATTTTTCTCACAAGGGGGGAAGCTGCTGAGGCTCCCCCCTCCCCCTGCCCCGTCCCCAAACTCCCTCTCTCCAGCACCCAATCTGCCCCACCAGAGCCGACCGCGGGTCCTCCCCCACTCCCCCGCCAGGCGAAGAAGGCCTTGCGGGTGGAAGCCGGGGGTCACCCTCGTCACTTTGGGGGCAGGAGGGGAGGGGTGGAGGGCATTAGGACACCCCATTTGAGCTCAGTCCCCGCTCCAAAGGATCCCCCTCGGGACCGACCCCGCTCCCCTCCCGCAAAAGGTCTCCTTGTCCACTCGCCTCTGCAACGGAGGGCCTGCCCTCGTCCCCGTTGCAGCTCAGAAACGTTGGACCCCACTGCTGACACCAGTTGCGGTGGAATCAAAAGGCGGGCACTGCCTCCCTGGGCCAGGCTGCTTTTTAAAATGTCTGCAGCGAATCTCGGTTAAGTCCTTGGGGGGGGAGAGCTGCCCCCTCCCCACTGACCTCTTTGTAACTGGACCGCCCGCCCGGCAGGGGCCAAAGCCGAAGTGACGGGCTTCTCGGCGATCGCCATGCAGGAGAAGAACTCGGACGTCGTCGAGGTTCGCCTTCCGGGAGATTCCCACCGCTGGGAGGTGCTGCTGAATGAAAAGGCCCTCAACTTTTCTGAACAAACCTGGATGGACTTAAAAGGTGATAGGAGAACTGGGGTTTAAAGAGGGGGCGCGGGGAGGGGCCTGGCCACGGGCGACCCCAGGCTGACGGAGATATAGAATCACGGAAGCATAGCTGGGCGAGCCTTCCCCCGTCTCCTTAGTCGCTTCCTGCTCTGCTTCCGGGCGCTTTGGAGAAGAGCTTGACTCCCTCTTCTTTGGGGCAGCCCCTGAGATACTGGAAGGCTGCTATCCTGCCCCCCCCCTTGTCATTCTCTTCATTAAACTAGACTTTGCTTTGTTTCCACCGACAGTGGGGGGGGAGGAGATTTCTCCTGCAGAGGGGGGGGGCAGAGAAAGAGACCCGTCAGTCCAGGGGATGCCCACCTCGGACAGGGTGCTGGGCAGCCTGGAGGCCTCCAATCAGCTACCGCGTGGAACGGGATGGCCGGCCTCCTCCTGCTCCAGCCTCAGCCCAGGCCTCTGTTCGGAACAGAGCCGGACCCCCCCCCACACACAAACACACCCCAGCTAAAAGGGGGTTTTGCCCTCCCTCCCTCCCTCTCTCTCTCCCACCCTCCCACTCCTTCCGTCCCGACCAGCCCAGAGTCCCCGTCAAGGGGGCCGCACCCTAGGAGACCCTTTAAAGCCGCCCCTTTTAGCTGGCCAGTAGGGGGCGAGTCCGAGCCACGGAGCCCTCCCCCCCACTCACCCCCACAGCCCTGGGGGGGGGAATCTCACGCTGGCTGAAAATGTGCCCCAGGCTCGTCACCCCAGGCAAAGGGCTAATTACAGTAATTTATTTATTTATGAGACTTATATACCGCTTTAAGTGCAAGCACTCTCTAAGCGGTGTACACCAGTAAGCAATGTATATTTACATTGCCCCCCACAATCTGGGTCCTCATTTTACCTACCCCGGAAGGATGGAAGGGCTGAGTCAACCTTGAGCCAGTGAGATTTGAACCGCTGACCGGCTGAACACAGTCAGCTAAAGTGGCCTGCAGTCCTGCACCCTAACTGCTGTGTCACCTCGGCTCTTAATGGCCAAAATTGTGGAAACCTTTTGGGAAAAGTGTATCTTTGAGGTTTGACGGCTAATAACGCCCCTTTTTTTGGGGGGAGTAGTACCATAAAACTATACATCCGTGGAAAGATCATTGAATCAAGATGTAATGCAACGTAGTTTGTTCAGTTCTCTGTACTATATTCTAGGAAAACTGATAGGCAAATAGCCAGAAAAAAGGAATCACCACTTGCCCAGGTTGATCTCGGGTAGCTTTCCTTCATCTGACTGTAGCCAATGAGCATCAGTGCTAAGAGAGCCAATCGGGTGTCCTCTTGTTTTGGCCGCGAGCCAATCAGATCACAGTTGGATCCAGTGATTGACGTCCTGTATTGAAGCTGATAGAAGGACATGGGTCAGGGTGTTATGTGATCGCCATCAAGTTGGTGGGGGTTTTTTTTTGTGTTCTTTCATTGAGTGAGCTTGGAAAACGCCGTAAAATTAAAGTCCTGGTGCAAAGAGTTGACCGGTCGCCCAGAAAGCGATGTAAAATAATATGATTAAGTAGATGTAATAGATGTAATAGTAGTAAAGTTGGAAGGGACCTTGGAGGTCATCTAGTCCAACCCCCTGCTCAGGCAGGTAACCCTATACCATTTCAGACAAATGGCTGTCCAGTCTCTACTTAAAAACTTCCAGTGTTGGAGCATTTACTGCTTCTGGAGGCAGGTGGTTCCGCTGGTTAATTGTTCTCACTGTCAGGAAGTTTCTCCTTAGTTCTAGGTTGCTTCTCTCCTTGATTAGTTTCCACCCGTTGCTTCTTGTCCTGCCTTCAGGGGCTTTGGAGAATAGCTTGACTCCCTCTTCTTTGGGGCAGCCCCTGAGATACTGGAAGACTGCTATCCTGTCCCCCCTGGTCCTTCTCTTCGTTAAACTAGACATACCCAATTCCAGCAACCGTTCCTTATATGTTTTAGCCTCCAGTCCCCTGATCCTCTTTGTTGCTCTTTTCTGCACTCTTTCTAGAGTCTCAACATCTTTTTTACATCGTGGTGACCAAAACTGGATGCCGTATTCCAAGTGTGGCCTTACCAAGGACTTGTAAAGTGGTATTAATACGTGATCTTAATTCTATCCCTCTGTTCATGCAGCCCAGCACTGTGTTGGCCTTTTTGGCAGCTACAGCCCACGGCTGGCTCCTATTTAGGTGATTGTCCACTAGGACTCCGAGGTCCCTCTCACAGTTACTACTATTGAGCATGGTGCCACCCATGCTGTGCATTTGGTTTTTCTTGCCTAAATGTAGAACCTTGCTTTTTCCACCCTTGAATTTCATTTTGTTAGTTAGTGCCCCAAAGGTGGCATTTCTAGGTTTTCACAATTTTGGCCACTGGTTGTATGAGGCTCCCTAGGCAGGCAGGACATTCTCTGATTTGTTTTAAAAAAAACAGAACAAAAAAAAACCCTGTATTGATAAAACAGGGGCTCCCCTGGCGCTCATCTCCTCTTCTCCCACCTGCCTGGAGCAGAGCCTTCAGGGGTTCCCAACCGGGGGTGCTGGCACCGACTGGGGGCGCGAGACGGTATTCCAGGGGTGGCGAACACTTGGGTTTTCAAAATGGTAGTGTGTACGCATAATCCATTGCCGTTATTTCGGACTTTTGTAAGAGGCGGGGAACATGTCAGAAGCGGGATGTAGAAAAGGCTGGGATCCTTCATCACGTGAAGTATTAATACCACTCTTCAATGCCTTGGTAAGGCCACACTTGGAATACGGCATCCAGTTTTGGTCACCATGAAGTAAAAAAGATGTGGAGACTCTAGAAAGTACAGAGAAGAGCAACAAAGAGGATCAGGGGACTGGAGGCTAAAACATATCAGGAACGGTTGCTAGAATCGGGTATGCCTAGTTTAACGAAGAGAAAGACAAGGGGGGACATGATAGCAGTGTTCCAGTATCTCAGGGGCTGCCATAAAGAAGAGGGAGTCAAGCTATTCTCCAAAGCGCCTGAAGGCAGGACAAGAAGCAACGGGTGAAAACTCATCAAGGAGAGAAGCAACCTGGAACTAAGGAGAAACTTCCTGACAGTGAGGACAATTAACCCGTGGAACCACCTGCCTCCAGAAGCAGTAAATGCTCCAACACTGGAAGTTTTTAAGAAGAGACTGGACAGTCATTTGTCCGAAATGGTGTAGGGTTTCCTGCCTGAGCAGGGGGTTGGACTAGATGACCTCCAAGGTCCCTTCCAACTTTACTACTATTACTAAATCTTGGTGACGAGCGCGATTCCCTTTTCAGCTTCCTCAGCGGGGTCCCCGTTGAAGGGTCCCCACTGGCAAAGAGAGGCCGCAGGGCGAGGAAGAGGGAGAGACCCTCCCTTACACACACACACACACACACACACACACACACACACACACACACACACACACACACACATTTTCCAGGGCCCACTGTCCACTTCTGCCGGCTGTCCCAGCTCTGATGACACGGAGCAGCCACGCCCCCTGGTGGCCAGAGCAGGAGAAGACTCCCTCCCTCCCTTCCTCTGGGGCCTTTGTCGCTCTTGATCAAGAAGGACTCCGCCCACTGCCATCACTGCAAGAGGGAGCAGGCCCCTCACTGGCACTGCCAAGTTCTTTCTCTTTTTTTGGAGAGGGGAGATTACCAGCCTCGTGCAAGGCAGAGCAGGGCCTGCCAGCAGACCAGCCTTTTCCCTTTAGGGGCTGCTGCAGAGCGATAGGCACGGGATGACCGGGCACTGCCGGCTGCTCACGGCCAACCTTTAAGCAACTTGGGCAGGTAGAGCAGAGGAGCTGACCTTGGCGCAGGAGCGATTGTGCTCGCCCCAGAAGGAAGAGTGGGGGGCGGGAGACTAAAGCTCAGTCCAGCCAGGGGGGTGTCTGCCTCGCAGTGGCCAGGGTCTCGCTGTGTCTCCCCTGCAGGCCTCTTCCTCTACAGCAGCCCTGGGCAGAGCGTCACTGCGATGTTCTCCTCCGGAGCCGGCCTGGAGGTCAGGGGCCACGGAGGGAAGGTGCTGAGCCTGACTGCTTTGCTGCCGGAGACCTTCCTGAGCCAGACGGAGGGGCTCTTCGGGCCGATGAATGGCCGGCCGCAGGATGATCTGACCCTTCCCGAGGGGACGGCCCTGGACGTGGCCAGCAGCGGCCCCCGAGAGCACTTCGCCTTCGGAGCAGATTGTGAGTGTGGCCATTCTGGAGGGAAAATGGGGGGAGGGGGGAAGCAAGGCAGAAAGGATAGGCAGAGCTGGACTTTGGCCACCGGAGTCGCCCAAGACAGCTAGACCCTCTTGGCATGTAGGATCTGCAAAAGGGCCGGCCACAAGAGAATTCAACATTGAAGAAAAGGCACGCGAGTGGCGGGGGGCTTGCAGGGGCTCCTGGGAAGTAAAAGAACGCCTGGTGCCTCCCCAAAATGTCTCAGGCCGTTAAAAGAAGCAGCTTTGTTAGATGTTATTCCAGTTGTACTAATGTTGGTCCTCCGGCTGTTAAGGGCCTTGAGGATTCCCCCGTCTCCAGGGGCGACACCTGAGCTCAACAGTCGCCGGTGGAGGCAGGAGAGGCCGCCCGTGGTCAGCTGTTTTAAACCACGGGAGGATGCCCCCACTTGATGCCCCCGTGGGCTCCACGTGGCCAACTTATATTGTTCCATTGGCTGCCCGTCCAGCAGAGGCGCCTACGGGAGACTCCGGTTCTGACACACGGAGGGAAGGTGGCTGTGGAGGCGCCCCGGTTTCTGCTCTGTGGCCACCGCAAGGCCGCTTCAAGCTGCCTCCGAAGGAAACCCGCTCGTCGTACATGCAGGCTGCCTGTGTCCGTCATCCACACCTAGAGAGGCTCCTTGTTTTTAGCGAATCTATCAAGGAACCAAACAACTGACACCCGTGGCCAAACTAAATGAGCACCTTCCCCCCCCCCCCCCGGAAAGCCAATGTTGGTTTAGAAGCCCCTGGAGGAAGCCGACATGCCTGACTGAGAGATTCTGTGTCACAAGGAAAGTTTTCGATTCCTTCTCCTTCAAGACTGACAGTTTTCCTTTCTCCTTCTTAGGGGCAATTACGAACAAAACGTCCCTTTTCACCTACGACATGCAGGACCTCCTGCACGACTTCGTCCACGGGACGAAGCACGACTCCTCCTTCGTCCCCGTCTTCTCTCCCCCCGAAGACACCGACGCTTCCCTCCTGCAGCAGGCGGCTGCCCTCTGCCAGGCCGACCCCTTCTGCCGCTTCGACGTCCTGACAACCGGAGACTTGGCCGTTGGGAACATCACTCGGCTGTCCCACCAGCACTTCAGGCAGCTCCAGCAGAGCTTGCAGCCAGGTAACACCTCCCCCAAAACTCCACAGCAGCACAGAGGCTCCCCCTCTGCTGCATGTGGCCAGTGGGCGTTTTATGCCCGGCACGGAACGGGAGCACAACCTGGACCCACACAGCGACAATGTTCAGGTCGTTCTCCCAATCCAGCCTTCAGCTCTGTCCCTGCAGCCACTGAGCGACTCCGGGTCTCATCCCGGCTATGTGGCGACACCAACTCGGGTCCTCTGACCAAGTGTCCGGCAGCTGCCGGTCAGTCAGAGTCTGAGTAATGTGAAAACTGAGGTGAATGGATGAATGCCTCCCTACTCAGCCCTCGGGGGGGGGACTGGAGCGCCCCTGATGCGACAGGAAGGGGGTTATGAGCAGCCCCCATAGCTCAGGTGGGGCTGCACGGCTTGGCCAGGCGCCAAGTTCTTCTGAGGACAAGGGACAGCCGGCCCACCTCGAATGCCTCAAATGGGTGGAGTGGCCTTTCAAAGGGCACCAGTGCCCCCCCCATGCGCGCTCTAGATGAGGAGAAAGGAAGGAAACGGTGGGGGTCCGGCTACGTGGCCCATCTTAGCACGGCCACCCTGGCCACCCGTGAAACAGACGCCAGAGCCACGTGGAGCCAGCCCAGGTGGGCAGTCCAAGCATGGGCAGCTCCCTTTGGGGAGGGGGCGGGTGGGGGCGGGCAGGGTGGGGCAGGGAGAGGAGGGAGGGAGTCTTATCTTCCTATCTGTCCAGCAACAACACGCCTGGCCCATTGAGGGGCTGAATCAAAACCCCTCCCTCCCTCCCTCCAGTGGTTTCCTGCGGCTGGCTGCCCCCGCCCTCCAACGGGGCAAAGGAGGGGACCCGCTACCTGGCTGGGTCTGAGCTCCGCTTCCGCTGCCATCCCGGCTACAGCCTGGTGGGCTCAGCGGTCAGGAGATGCCAGGCGGATGGGACCTGGTCGGGACAGCCCCCCAGCTGCCTCCCCAACGCAGGTAGGACCTTTACGCAATCCCCTCCCCAACCCAAGGTTAGCGCTGCAGATCTGGACTTGCGTGCTGGACCAAAGGGGGGGGGAGGAGAAGCCCGTGGGGAGGGGGGGTGGGGACCACGGGGTGCTCAACAGAGTGGCCCTCAAGCCGTCTTGATCTTGCCTCTGGCTACTCGGTGGACGTATCATTGGGACATTGTGATCCCCACTCCATTCCTTTTCCACACACCTGCGCTGTGATGACCCACTTTAAAAGGGGCACCAACACAACACGCCTCGCACGGCCGCTGCTCAGGGGGGCACGTGGGGGGGATACCAGGGAAAACCAGAGCCTCTGGGGAGAGACTACCCCAACTCTCAGTTTAGAAGCCCCCCTGGAGAAGCCCCCCCGACTCCGAGGCAGCTGCCCCTCCAGCCACCCTCTGGGTCAGGACGGAATGAAGAGGCCAGTCCCGTCTCCACCTGGACGGAAAAGGATCCGGACAATCTGTCACCTTGGGAATCTGCCGTAGTCGGGTTCCCCACTCCTACTTCTGGGATTTGCAATACGACAGTTAAGTCGTGCGAGATACCTAGGGGTCTTCTAGTCCATCCCCCCTTGCTCCGTGCAGGAATCCTCCCGCACAGCGTCTCCGCTGATGGCCTTCCTTTTTATGTCCCAGGAGCCTCTCTGCCCCTGCCCGCCTTGGCCTTTGCGATCCCGAAGGTCGCGCTCCTCCTCTGGCTGGCCTGGTGACCTGGCTGCCAGAGGAGAGGCCGGGAGAGGACCCTGGCTCAGCTCCCCCGCCCCCCAGGAAGGAAATCGGATGACGCCCTCACGTCGCACCCCACGTCCAGCGGATCAGCACTGAACTCTCGGCCTGCCGCTCACTCTGGGTCCGGGCAAAGGGGGTCCGCATCCAACCAGCCCTTGCTGGGGGGGGGAGCAAAAGTGAGGGGGGAGAAGCCCTTTCTTCAGCAAGCATGCAGATTGCTGCAAGGACAGCTTTGTTCCGGGGGAGCTCCCCTGCTGAAAGACGGTGCCCACAGGCAGCCAGAGGACGTCTCCTTGCCCGGCAGCCGTAGCCAGCAACCCCTCGGCCGGTGCCCAGCTGGCTCCCCTCAAGCGGCAGGGGCAGCCCCATCCCTGCTGCCCAAGGCAGAAGCCCAGCTGTGCCCCTGCTGCCTTGGGGAGGGAGGGAGGGAAGGCCCGGAGGAGGCCGGAGAGGCCCTTGCTTCCTCTTGCTTAAAAGGCCCCCTTGCCCGGAGAGTCCCTAGAGGGGCTGGCTTCACAGGGGCCTCGCAGCCGGGTCAGGGACCGCCCACACCACAGGCTGGTCCCTTGTGGGCTCAAGGGTGGCCCCTTTCTAGGCTGTGAGTCACAACGAACACCCCCCCAATCCCGTCCAGAATGGGGCAAGCCCCCCCCCAGACTCAGGGCTCCCCTCCTACAGCCGTCTGCCGGGAATCGGGCCTGAACTGTTTGGTGGGGCTGCCCCCCCTGCCCCCTCCCCCCCCGCATAGATGTGGCTTCTGGGTAGTCTGGCCAGCCTCTCCCCCCTCCCCTCCCCTCTGGGGCATCTGGAAAAGAGGGGAGTCCAAACAAGAGTCCCCCCCCTCAACACCGCTGGTGGAAAGACTGTGGCTGGTGGGACCCTCTTCGCTGCCCTCCAGCCAAGCCAGTGAGACCCTCCCTCCAAAATGCAGGGGTCCCCCCTCCCCGGTGATTCTGCTTTAATCATTGCTGTTCGGCGGGGACCCCCGACTGCCCCACGAATAAAAGTGGCCCCGGGATGAAAGAGATACAAAGCAACGAGGCTCTTTTTTTATTGAACCTTCTCCTACAAATCACTCGGCACCACACGACAAAGAAACGGGCAGCCACGGTGTGGGGGGGGGTGGAACATGGGACCTGTGACGCCCTCTCCACCCAGGGACCGGGAGTCCCCCCCCCAGAGGGCGGCCAATGAGACACTCATGTGCTAAAAACAGACACAGTGAAATGACCAAACAGGCGCCCCCCCCCAAGGCCCCTTTCAGTCCCAGCCCCTCCCCTGAGCAGGAGGGGGAGGAGAGGAGGATGGCCAGTTTTTCCTTGCTGTCCAATGCTGCCCCCCCCCTTCGTGGGGACTCAAGGCAGGCAGGGAGGCTGCCCCGTGTCGGGTTCCAGGCTCTGCCAGCTAACCAGGATTCCAAGGGCCCGATTCTGATCCAAACTATCAAAAGCCCAGCCCCCCTCCCCCCAGGTGGAGGGGGTGCTAAGAGTCATCGGCCACCTCGGCTGAAACCACGTCTGCTTTCTTTTCTGACCTCCCTGACGCTGAGGATGCGAGAGAGAGAGAGAGAGAGAGAGAGAGAGAGAGAGAGAGAGAGAGAGAGAGAGAGAGAGACACGCAGACAGACAGACAGACACTGGCTCACCCCAGCCACCCACCCACCCCCATCTTGCACGGGACGGGAATTGTGCTGCCTCTGGCTGCCTCTCTGCCCTTTCCCGTCTCCCTCTTCTCCGGGGCCCCAATCGAAAGCCTCCACCTCCTCCCCCCCCTCCGTTGGCAGCAGCTAGCCTGGCACACACTCACCCCACAGCCTGCAGGGCGCAACTGCTCCCAGGGGAGCCCGTGGCTGGTCAGGGTGGGCTCCCCAGGGGTCCAAGCTGACTCTGACAGGTTCAGGGGAGTACGGGAGGGGTCTTCCCTTCCCCTGGTGCCTTGGGAGGTGCCGCAATGGGGATCGGTCCCGGCAGGGCCCACCAGGCAGAGCTCCGTAGCCGGCCTCCAGCACCTGCTGGCCAGAAGGACCGGCCCAAGGCTCTTGCTGTGAAGAGGGTCACCGGCCTCTGGATCTCTCTGAGCTGCTGCCGGAGACCCCTTCCCCCTGCCTGGTAGATGGACCCTCCCAGCCAGCCACCGGTCAGAGGCCGGTCCAGTTCGGGAGGAAGCTGCAATTCTCCAATCTTCCGGGACCTTTGCAGGATCCCCCAGCGTCGCACCCGGTTGCGCGTGGTTCATCGGCTTCACGCAGCCCGCAACGGGATGTGTCCCAGATCTCGTTCTACGGCTGGGCTGATCGTGGGTGAGACCTTTTGTGGCAAATGGGCACTGTGGAATACCCGAACCAGCAGCCCGGGCACCGAAGCGCAAAGGGGGCAAGCTGTCCACTCTCGATGGGAGCCTCCTGCTGTGGGCCGTGGCCTCTTGCCTCCCTCTGCACAGCCCACGGAGCCAAGGGGGAGGAGGAGGAGGAGGGCAGGGGGGCTGCGAGGCAGACCCTATAGCTGGTGATGCTGGTGCTGTGGTGGCCTCCCCCAGGCCAGTCACGGAGCCGGTCCGTTCTCCGTGGGGGAGGGGGTGTCAGGTGATGGAACACAGAAAAGTCCATGCTTGATGGAATGGTGGGGAGGGTGATGGTGGGGGGAAATTAGGCTGGTAGACATTTATGTGTTGCGGACCCCCAGAGACTGTTCCAACTCTTGCCGACGCTGCTGGATCTGAAAGGGGGGAGGAGAAAAAAAGCAGTGGGTTGGGCTGCGGGAGTTTCCCGGCCCCAAGAGAAGGGCCTTCGAGGGACAGCCCCCACCCCCACCCCTCACCCCACTGCCTTGCCTTGCAGTAGAAGTATCTGCTGACGGCCTCCTGGGACCAGGGCTGGTGATAGAAGTCTGCCCTCCGCTCCTCCTCCGGGTTCCCCACCACGTCCGTCATGACCTGCCGGGCGAGAAGAGCCCGTGAGCAGCGGAGCCCAAACAGGCTCCCTCCGGGTCTCGGCGGAGAAAAGAACCCGACAAGTCTGACACACACACCCTGACTGCCCCCTCCCTGCCCCGGCCATCTGACACCCCCTCGACTGCCCCCTCCCTGCCCCGGCCATCGTTTCCCCCGGAGCCCCTGAGCAGACCCGGAACCCCACTAGAATCTCCTCGGCGCGAGGGAGGGGAGGCCCGGGGGGCTCTGGACACAGCGGAGTGGAAGGGGAGGCAGCCCAAAATTCACGACGGGGCCATAACTGTGTTCCGGGAAACGAGGGGTGCCTCTCCGGCGCCTCAAAGGGCACGGAGGCTGGGATGCACCGAAGGCATTTCAGAGGTGCAGCCGAGTTCTGCCTTTGCTCGCCACGACTTCAGGCGCCGGGAAGTCAAAGACGGGCCTCTGATGCCGTGGGCCTCATCACCCCCCCCCCAAGAACCCGGAGAAGCGAGCCCGACCCTCCGGGTGACGAGGAGCCCGTTTTTTTGTGTTACGCTGACCCGCCAGCCCCCCTAAGACCCCCCCCACTTCTCTGCCCTGGCTGGAGGGAGCAGCTCGGTGTTCAAGCCTTTCTCTGCGACTATGGGAGGGGTACCGAGGCTTCATCCAAAGCTGCACGGGGGGGGACGGCTTGCCCCCACCTGGCCCTCGAGCTGTGGGGGTGGTGAACCCCGGCTCGAAAGCCCCCCCTGTCCTCCTGTGGCACCCGGAGAGAAGGGAGGAGAAGAAAGTGGTCAGGGGTCACTGGGGTGGCAGGCCAGCCCCCCCCCCAGGCCAAAGGTCCAAGCGCAGCAATGCCCAGCAGTCCTCGGGGTCCCATCCCGGCCTGGGCCCCCGGTGTGCAGGAGGCGACCGACCTTAAGGTCCCTGCTCTGGGAGCGGAGGAGGTCCTGGATGTAGCCCTTGGGGTCTCTGGAGAAGCTCAGCATGAAGTCCCTCTGGATCTTCAGCTGGTGGATCGACTCGATGGTCTCGTGGATCTGCAGGGCGGACGGACGCGGAGAGCTCAGCTGGCTCAGGCAGCTCTCCTCCTGCCCCCCCCCTCGCCTGCCCCCCACTAGTTGGGTAGCAGCTTCCGAGGCTGGCAGCGCCTGCACGGTCTCCCCCCCCCACCAGAGGGTTCAAGATGGGACGGTCTGCCCCCCCCCACACAAAAGCATTTCCCCCCTTCCCCCCCGTTGAGCAGGCCAAACCGGTGACCCGAGCAGGAAACGGGAACATCCGGGCTGGCATAAGTGGCCGGAGGGGCTTCGGAGGGAAGAGGCGCCTCTGGGCAGATGCCCAGGGCCAGCAGTCCGGTGGGGGTGGGGTGGGGTGGGCGGTTTAGGCCGGGGGGAGCCTGCTGGCCTCTCCTTGAGAGATGTATTCGTGAAAAGTGGGGCTTCCATCCCGGTCAGGGACCTTTGGGCAGCCCCAAAGGCTGGAGGGGGGGGAGGAAGCGTCCCCTCAACCTGCCCTGCCCCCCCCTTCCCCACCCGCTTGGAAGTGCCCGTTTGGATCAAAAGGCTCTGGAGAGGAGACGTTCTGCCCACCTCACAGGGTTGTCGCTGCGGGGGACATAGCAGGAGGAAGCAGCATTAGGTACATTCAGGGCCTTGAGTCGTTTACAGCCTCGTAACGGCTGGGTAGAAACCTAGCCCGATACGGTCGTAGAAGCCAGAGGCTGCTGGCCTTCTCCACCCTCCGCGCCCGACCAGCCCGGCCCTCCCAGCGGCAGCACCTTGTTGTCCAGGGCGGTGATCTCCTGCTGATTGGCCGTGGAGAGCAGGAAGCTGCTCATCTGCCCTTTCAGGGGGTCCTCGACCTCCACGTCGATGTCGTAGCAGGCCGTCTTCTTCTGGTCATTGGGGTCCACGCTGGAGGGGGGGGGAGAGCCCAGAGCATCAGCACCATTCCTGGGGAGGCCCACCCTCCCTCCCCCAAAAGAGGCTGGCTCCCCTGACCCCCTCCAGGCCCCCTGGCACAGCAGGGGCCTCACCCCCCCCACTACGCCGACCATCTGCACACGAGGGGCGCGAACCCAGCGGACCCTCGGCGGCCCTTTCCCCCCCCCGAACACGCGGACCTGATGATGTGGTTGATCACGATGGGATCCGGCGGGAGCAGCAGATTTGTCAGCCTCTGCGGGATCTCGGAGAACTTCAGCCGGGAGCAGTCGAAGATCTGAAAACGGCAACGGGAGGGAGGCTGAGCGGCATTCGCCCTCTTCCGGCCAGAGAACCGGCGCGGGCGAGCGGAGTCCCCCCCCTCCCTGGCCCTCTCCCCCCCCCCGGCTCCCTCGCGGGGTACCTCCTGGGTCCATCTCGGGGGGGGGGGCTGAGCAGAACTTCAGGGTCCATCCGAGGACGGCCCCTTTGTCTCACTCGCTCGGAGCCCGGCAGCCCTCACTCTGCCAGGGGGGGATGTCTCCCACCCTCTTTTCTTCCTTGCCCCCATTTGGACCCCCCCCCACACACACACAGGAAGCCACTGCCAGGCTCTCACCGGCCACCTTGGGCTTCACTGGGGCGGGGGAAGAAAATCCCTCCCTCTCAGCACCCCCACGGGTGACCCAGGCCCTGCCCCCACAGGTGACCCATAGCCTCGGACCCCCAGGAGGACCCCACCCTGCCCCCCAGCTCTGATGTGGGGGAGATGGAGGCCCTTGGCCCACCCTCCTCGAGGGGGGGCACCCGGGAGACGAGAGGTACAGAGGGAAGCCCTGTCCCGTCCCCCCGTGAGCCCCTGGAGGCCCCCACCTGGACACCAGCCACGCCCCCCCCCGCTACAAACCAGCAAGCAGCTTCTCCCTCTCCCCCCCACCCCCCAACGCCCCGTCTGAGGGGTCCGGCACAAGGGCCAGATTAATCCCAGAGTGTCCCCCCCACCCCCACCCCCGGTTCCCCTTTTCTGCCCACCTGCTGGAAGTATTTGTCGCAGTTGATGTACTCCTTGTCGTGGGAATCCTGCAGCTTGTTGGTCTTGATGTACTGCCACAGCGCCTGGATGATGGCCGAGCGGGTCTGCGTGTGGATGCCCAGCAGGCGGGCCAGGCGGGGGTCGAGCTTGAACTGGGGAGGCTGCGGGCAGAGAGCAAACGCCAAGTGTCCCCTTGGGCAACCGAGGGCCTCCTTGGACTCACGAAGGGGCAGCTGCCCAATGCCCCCACCCCACTCGGCCAGCCTCTCTCTCTCCATCCTTCCCAGGGGGGACCCCGGGACCCCTCTGCCCCTACAGCCCATCACCCCCCCCCCCAGGTTCCCTCACTGCTGCCTTCCTGGATCGGCTCAAGGGCCGCTCGTAGTTTGGTGAATAACATCGTACGTTGCTGGAAAGCAGTGGTTCTCAACCTTTTTAATGCCGCGACCCCCAACCAGTCGTAAGTCGAGGACTACTCAACCGGTCATAAGTCGAGGACTACTCAACTGGTGCAGCACCGTTTGCAGAATGGGACTTTTGGCGGGCTCAGCAGGGCAGAGACAGCCTGGACGATTCCTATTGGCTTTCGAAAGCCAAGAGAATTAGGCTCTATTCAAGAGAGTCTCTTCTATTGGCTTTCCAAAGCCAATAGAATAAAAGGGAGTAGCACAGCTAAGGAAAGGGGGGGGGGAAATGGCGGACGGCGTTGTTTGGCGACCCCCGTGAAATGGTCGTTCGACCCCAAATGGTGTCCCGACCCACAGGTTGAGAACCGCTGCTGTAAAGGAAGCAAAGGGCAGTCCAGAAAAGCTGCCCGCGGGAATCCCACCCACCCACCCACTTTGCAGGCAGCATTTATTTATTTGCCTTTATTATGTTCAGGAGCGCGAGATGGACGACACACATACACGCTTGATAAGTACGTGAACAAGCGCTGCATCAAATGCTGTAGCCGCCCATCTCTCAGCTGCAATTCTGGGCAGCGTTGAGAGTTAAAACCACACACAAACCTCGAGGAAGAGCAACGCTGGCTGCAACACCGCTCCCCCCCCCACTCCCCAGGAACCAAAAAAGAGGCCAGGGTCTCCATCCAGCCCTCTCCCCAGGCCTGACAGGACAGACACACCTGCCTTGCAGGACTCCCCAGCCCTCCAGGAGCTGCGCTGGGGCTCCGTAGCTCTCCGGGAGAGGCTGTCCGTGGGGAGGGGGAAGGCCTGCCACAGGAGCCGCCTGCTTCTGGGCCTGATGGGGGGGCACTGCTGGTCAGGGGTGACCGGGAGGCCACACACCCCTGCTGGATCTGGGGGGACGATGGGAACAGCCAGGGGAAAAAAAAAAACCTGTGCACGGAGGGCTTCCCAGCTGCAGCCAATGCAGCCCACAGAGCAGCAGGCATCCTATTACGCAGTAGGGGCGCCACCCATCCCTCGCCCCTCCACGGCATTCCGGGCCACTTGTCGCTACCAAAGGAGCTCTGAGGCCCGGCCCACCCGTGGCAGCACACCATCGTCGGCCACTTGGGAGTGGTGCCCCCGAAAGGGCACAATTGGCACCCGAGACAGACTTAGCTGCAGCGGCCCAAGCCCTTCAAACAGGGGCCTTGAATTTGGGGGGGGCCTCACATCACCCACTTTTCTGCCTGGTCTGGGCATCGACGCATGCCCAACAGCCAGTGGCGGAGCGCGCCAATCGCTTCAACAGGACCGGGGGGGGGGGGGAAACAGAGGCATCACACAAAGGAAGAGTCTGGGAAGGGAAGCCGGGATGGACGTACCCCTCCCACCCCACTCCTGCCAGGGGTCGTCGGCGAGCGCAACCACGGCTGTCCTGTACCCAGGCCTGAATCCAGACCGAGAGGGGTCAGGATGGTCCACTCCTTCCGGGACTCTCTGAAGCGGCAGTTATGAGCGCCTCTCCACGGCCTTCCCTAAAAAAGTCGGGTATCTTGCACTGCCCGCTCCCAGAGCCCCCCACCTTTGCCAAACAGGGTTAGGTGACCCCCCCCCACCAGGCACTGGACAGCTCAGTCTCCCCCCCCCCAGCTGCCCTCCTGCTGACACAGGAAGCTGCGCCCAGCGGCCTTGGGGCTGCTCTGAGAGCCAGGAACCTGGCGTGGGCTGTGGAAAGCGCACCCAGCTTATCTCTCCTGTGGCCCCCGGGCGCCCTGGGGAGGCTGGGCCCTGGGGGAGGGGAGGGGGGGCACCATGGCAGTGGGAGAGCAGAGAAGTCCAGCTGGCACGTTGCTCGGCTGGCCTCGGGGTCACCACAAGCTTCCCTTCCCCATATTCCACCCCACCGCCGTCAACGATGAAGTTCCCCAGAACCGGCCTGCCCAAAGCCCAGCTCAGCGGTTTGTTCTGACGAAGCCCCCCCCTGTGATTCGGGAGCTGGGCCCCAGGGGGTCTGAATGCCTGACCCCGAAGCCCACGCCCCACCTGGTAGTCCAGCATGAGCAGCAGAGTGCAGCGCACGCTGACGTCTCCCGGTCTCTTCACCTGGAAGCCGTCCGTCTCCTGGGTGGTGGGGGTCCGGTGCCACTGCCAGAAAAGAAGCAAGAGCGCCCCTGAGGGGGAGAGACCCTCACCTTCCCCGAGGGTCCTTCTGTCGCCGCCCTGAGTGCTTAGCGAGCCCAATGCTTAGTCCATTTAGGCCCCGCCCTGTCCCGCGTCCCCAGGGGCTTCGTCCGCAGCCCTGCCAATTCCAACGGGGTGTCAAGGGGAGGCAGGCAGCTCGGCCAAGGAAGCCCATCGTGCTGGGGATGGGAAATCAGCCAGCAGCCTTCCGGGAACTGGCGTGCAACTCCCGCCAGCCTTGCCCCTGATCAAGCAGGCCGGCACGGAGACCGACGATCGCCACCGCTCCTGTCCCACCTCTGCCCGCTGTCAGCCCTTCAGCTGCCCTCTGGGAAGACCCTACGCGGAGGCGGCTGCAGCAGCAAGAGAACCCGGAGGCTGGTGGAGGGGTGGCCCTGGGCAAATGCAGAAGAGGGACCCCCGGTGGCCGGAACGCAGCGTTGCAGGCTGGCTCTGCATTCCCACGGTCGGCAGTTCGACTCGGCCTTCCGTCTTTCCCAGGTCCGGTAAAATGAGGACCCAGATTGGGGGGGGCAAGTGGCGGACTCTGTAAACTGCTCAGAGAGGGCCGTTGTGGAGCAGCACATAAGTCTAAGTGCTTTTGCGGTGGCTATACAAATAATGAGGCCAGTCAGGGGAATCCTTAGCAGAGGCGGGGCTGTGGGGAGGCACGGGGGACACACAGGAGGATTAAAGGTTAAAGGTTAAAGTTTCCCTATTCCAGGAAGAGAAAGGAACTCTGGGGGAGATGGAAGTACACACATGTACACATACACACCGTACCTTTTCTGTCTTCTCTCTGTGGCTCCGCTGAATTTCTGCTCCCCCCCCCACCAACCCAAGATGGAGGACGGAGGGCAGCCCCTCCTTTCTGCCTGGGGAGGGGGGAGGGGGGGGCAAGCCAGTTACCTCGACCAGGTGATTGTCCGGTCCATAGAGGTCCTTGTCCAGTTCAATGACCAAACTCTTGAAGAAAGACGAGAACTTCCGCTTCTGTTTGCTGAGCTGCGGAGGGGGGGGACACAGCCCCATCAGGAGAAGACAAGCCCTCCCCCCACGGACTCGACCCCTTCCCCTCCCCACTGGCTCTGGCCACCCCCCAGCCCTCCTCACACTGCCCCATCAGTGGCTGGCCCCCTTGGGGGGCATCTGGCCTGTGCCCCCCCCCCGGACGCCTCGGATGCTTACGTCGTCCAGCAGCTTGCCCTCCACCCGCAGCTCCCAGGAGGCGATGCTGCCGTCCGAGTCCTCGGCGTCCGACTTGGCCGGGTTGAAGGTGTTGGAGATGTACAGGCGCAGCTTCCGCTTTTGCTGCGGGCCGAGCAGAGACCCTGGTGAGGGCCGCCGGGAGCCCCTTCCAGGGGGGGGACCACCCACTCCCCGGGCAGCTGCAGGGGGACGGACCCCAGCCTCCCTCCTAATTGAGCTCAAACAAGGGGGGGCTCCATCAGAGAGACCCTCCCCCAAAACTCTGGCCGTGAATGCCCCCCCCCACAGGAAGAGTTAGAAGCCCCGAAGAGGGGAGGAGGAGGAGGAGGAGGAGGAGGAGGAGGAGGAGGCGAGGGCTGCAGCTGCCCAGCCCCCCCCCCAGGGCAGGTGGGCTGGCCGCTCCCACCTTCATGGGCCTCTTTAGGGCCTCCTGGATGTCCACCCGCTTCCGCATGATGGTCTGGTCCAGCTTCCGCTCAAAGGCCAGCAGGTCCATGTAGGCCTGAGACTCGGGCACCAGCTCCCGGATCTGGGGGGGGGGAGGAGGCACAGCATGGCTGCCACACACGGGGGGGGGGAGCAGGACACCTCCCCTGCCCCTTTTGGGGGGAAGCTGCCGATCTCAGATTTGCTGGGGGGGGAGGGGGGGGGGAGGCGGGAAGCCAGCCGGAAGGGGACCCCCTCCACCCCCCCCAAGGTCTGGAAAGTGGCTTCTGCTGTGGCAGAGCAGACCCCCCACCACCCCGGCTGAGGTCCCTGGACGAGGCGCTGGGGGAGGAGGGCACCCCAAGGGAGACCGAGGGTCCCTCCGGCCACAACCGGGCAGCAAGAGCTGTTCCCCACCCAGAGGGGTCCGGCTTTTATTTTGCTCAGCTCTCCCCCCCACCCGCCCCCTCTACCCGCCTGCCCACCCAGAGATGGCATTGTTGCACCACAGGGCGGGGGGGGGCAGGGGCGGGGGGTGGGGGGCAGGGGGTGGGGGGCAGGGGCGGGCCCACCATCAAAGCTGCCACCATGCCCGGCGGGTCCTTCCCTCCCTCTGCTGTCTTGGAGAGCCCTCCTAACCCTGTCCAGCCCTCCCCCCTCCACCTCCCTCCCTTGCTGGAGCTGCCCCCTCCCTCCCTGGAAGGCTGTGTCCTCACAGCTATGGCCAGGTGGGTGGCAGCCTCAGCCCAGCTCCTCCCCCTCCCCCTCCCCAACCCCACTCCTTTCTAGAACTGATGACGTTCCCTAGTTTGGCCATGAAACGTCTGCAAGGAAACCACCCAGCTCAGAGAGCCCCCAGGACCCTGCAGTCCTCCCCCTCCTCTTCCCCCTCCACCCTGGGGCCTTGGGGGACCCTCCCACCCTGGGAAGGGGGGGGACAAAGCAGGAAAGAGCTGCTCACCCTTTGAGGGAGGATTTTGTCCGCCATCTTCCTCCTCTTCACACTGCGCAAGGAAACAGAGGCCGAGGCCCCGGGGGACCAGCGGTCAGAGGAAGCCACCCCCCGGCTGCTGAGCCCAGCCTCAGAAGGAGCCCACCCCCCACAGGTTCCCCTTACAGCTGCCGCCACGGTGGAGGGGCTCTTGGTCCCGGAAGGGCTTCTGGGGTCTCTCCTTCTCCCCCCCCCAGACTCCCAGGGATGGGGACAAGGACTGGCTCCCGGGGGGTCCACCCGGCTGCCCCCCCAGGAGCCTGCAGGCCAGGAGACCTATAGGGCAAGGAGCCCTGGCTGCCAGTTGGCACACAGCCAGAGGGTGAGAATCGCGTGCCCCCCCTCAGGCCTCGAGGGGGGGGCTGCCTGAGTGGCTTTCACAGGCTGGGCTGGCAGAGCAGGTGCCCCCTCCCTCCCTCCCTCCTCCGGACAGCCCCCCCCCCGCGAGGCATGCGCCAGGCAGACAGAAGGGAGCATCCAGGCCCCCCCACTCAGGCTCGCAAGGCTGCCCTCCAGTTCCAGGCTCCCCCTCCCGGGAAACAACCTGGGAAGAGGGACAGCCCCTGTGTGGCCCCCAACTGCCCCCCCTGCCCCCCAGAGGACAGCTCCTTCCTTCCTGGCTCTGGGAAAAGGCAGCTAGGCCAGAAGGAAAGAGCCAAAGGGCGAGGAGGACCCGCAGAGCTGCCCCCCCAGGCCTCGGTGCCTGCCTTGCTCGCCTGTCACTCCTGCACCCCCCCACACTCACCTGCGGGATCGGTTCTGTTGGGCAGCTCCCTGCGTCTGCGTCGGCGTCTGCTGTGGCTGTGGCGTCTGCTGTTGCGGTGCCTGTGGCGGCGTCTGCTGTGGCGGCTGTGGCTGCGGCTGGGGGGCCGCCCGCTTGCGCGTGGGCTCCATCACCGCCGGTGGCATCCCGGGGCGCACGGAGGGGCTTCCGACATAAGGGGGGCCCGGGGGACCCATGGGAACCCCCTGGTGGGGCATGCGAGCGCCGGAGGGCATCCCAGGACGCTGGACGGGGAAGGAGAGGGGCATCAGCCATGGGGGAGTCGGGCTGAGGGCCAGGGGGAGCGGCACGCACGGGGGGGGGTTAATGAAACAGGCCCTGCAGGGGCACCAGCCATCCTGAGCCATCCACCCGCCCGGCTGGCCCCTTGACCCGGAGCCGCGGCTGGCGGAGAGGGTGGCAAAGAGGCCCGCGTGCTGGAGCCTTCTGACCGGGAGCCCTTCCGTGCCCTCAGCCGCAGCGGGTGCCCAGCCGAGCCGATCGGGGGCCGGAGGGGAGACGGGTGGCCAAGGACGAGGCCTCGAACCCGGCCAAGGGAAGCCGAGTGCTCCCCCTCAGATCCGGGGCCCTTGCAAGCCGGACAGCTGCCGAGGCCCAGAGCCCACCAGGCCGGAGCCGGAGGGCGTCCGAATGCTTCTCCCCGGAGCGGCCCGTGTCTTTCACAGGGGCTTGCCACGCTACTCTTTGGTGGGTCTGCTTGCAATGGGGTCTCCAAACACCCCAAGAAAGCTTGTGCTGTCCTTCAATCGTGAAGCACACACAGACACAGAGACACACACGCACACCGGGAAGGGAGCCCTGCAGGACACGCCCCAAAGGTGCAAAGGGCCAAACCCCCAGGTGGACGGATCACGAGACCCAAACGCCCCCAGTTTTCTTCAGCAGACTCTCCCACGGCTCTTCCGGAAACTCCCCACCTGCTGCCCCCCTCAGCCTCCCCTCTCCCCAGAGACTTGGGGAGACTCAGGGTGGAGACCCCCCTCCACGCCCAAACCTGAGGGCCAAGGCAGAGACCCCCCCCTCCACGCCCAGAGACCTGGGGAGCAACTGGGAGAGGAGAAAGCCAACAGGGGGGGTGACAAGCGAGAGGGCCTCAGCTGGGAGCAGACCGGGTGGGGGTGGGGGGGCGCCTGCAGACTTTTTGTAAACATTCACAATGCTCCAAAATGGGGCACTGGGGACCTGCCACGGGGCACGGAAAGGCTGGGGGAACTTATCTAAGAATGATCCTCCTTCCCACCCACCCCAGGAAAAGAAAATGGAGGAGGGCTGCCGCTCGGGGCCGTCTGTGGAAACGGGCCCACCTTGCCGGGGAGAAAGGAGGAGATCGTCGGAGGCCACAGAGAGCAGCCCAGGAAGAATTTCATGAGCTTGCCGGGTGCTCAAGTGGTCTCCGGCAACCATTTTGGGAACAGACTGCCATTCTCTGGGGCAGCCATTTTGTGAGAGGCCCACTAAAGGCGGCCAAAGGCCTAACTCGCACCTGTGGCCTCTCTAACCAAGGGCTGAAGGAGGAGGTCTGCCAGCGGGAGGGGGAGCCGGTGGATCCCGGGGCAGCCAAGAAACAACAGGACCAGCACCAGCCCTTTCCCTTCGCCAGCGGAGATTGGAGACCCATGACAGACCCTCCTGGGAGGGAACCCCCTTCTCTTGGGAATCTGCCATTGCTCCCCCAAAGGCCAGGAGGGGCAGCACAGCAAGTGGAAAGGACCCACGATGGGGGATAGAAAGGAGGAGGAGGAGAAGAAGAAAAAGAGGAGGAGAGGAGGAGGAGGAGAAGAAGAAGAAGAAGAAGAGGAGGAGGAGGAGGAGAAAAAGAAGAGGAGGAAGAGGAGAAGAGGAAGAGGAGGAGGAGGAGAAGAGGAGGAGAAGAAAAAGGAGGAGGAAGAGGAGAAGAAGAAAAAGAAGAGGAGGAAGAGGAGAAGAAAAAGAGGAAGAGGAGGAGGAGGAGAAGAAGAAGAGGAGGAGGAGAGGAAGAAGAAGAGGAGGAGGAGAGGAGGAGGAGGAGAAGAGGAGGAGAGGAGAAAAAGAAGAGGAAGAGAAGAGGAGGAAGAGGAGGAGGAAGAAAAGAAAAAGAAGAGAAGGAGGAAGAGAAGAAAAAGAGGAAGAGGAGAAGAGAAGAGGAGGAGGAGGAGAAGAGGAGGAGGAGGAGGAAAGAAAAGCAGAAGAAGGAGGTGGTGGTGGTGGTGGTGGTGGTGATGGTGGTGGAAGAGGAGACGGCGGAGGAAGGGGGACCGGGTGGAAAGACGGGAAGGGCGGACATGGAATCCCACGGAAGAGGTGCCTGCCAGGTGGTGGCCTGAGGTAGGCGGCAGAGGCAGGACTGGCACGGAGACCCCCCCAACAGGAGCAGGGGAGGGGAGGCCCGCTGGCTCCCAAGGCTTTCGAATCCTCCGGGGGCCGGAGGAACTGCCCGCCTCCTGTCCAAGGGAGGGCCCTCCGCCATGGCCGCCCTCCCCTCCTGGAGGACCAGGGGAGCCACGGCCATCGGCAGGAGGGTCTGGGCCCTTCGTTGGACGTCGCCCTCAGGGGGCCGTAAGAGAAAATATTCGCGGCTCAGGGCTGAACCGTAGCTCTGGCCAACGTTTCATTACCAAACTAGGTAACCGCCTCAGTGCCGGGACCGACGATGTTACCTCGCTTGGTGTGTGAAATGCCAGGAAGGAGAGCACCAAGGAGACCATAAAAAGCCCCTTGGTTTCACTCCAGCATAAAGTAATTACCCGAAGCCACCAACGCAAATTTGAACTGCTGGAGGCATAAAACAGTTTCCTTTTAGCCACCAGGCCTTTGACTAAACACATCCCCCTCTCCTCTCCCGCAGCGACCGCGTTCAGGCCAATGGCGTGCCGGGAAGGAGGCCGCACCCGACTCCTGGCTCCCTCCAGACGAAGGTCAGTCCGGGCCCTCCTGCTCATCCACGTTTATATCAACGACTTTGATCCAGACAGATCAGAGGATGGATACGGGAGCCACGGATTGACACCACGGCACCCAGCGGCCACCTGCGCTCCGGGGTCCAAGGCCACAGAGGGACCCCCGCTGCCTCCACAAGGGGGCTGGGGCATCGGCTGCTGGGCTGGCAAGGCAGCCGAGCAATGCCAGGAAAACATACAGGGGAAATTAAGGAGACCCTGCCAGGAGTGGGATCGGCACCCAGGGGGGCTTCGTTCAGAGAGGCGTTATCTCCCTTCCCCCCCCCCACCCCGGGACCGGCCGCTGCTTTAAGAAATCTCTCTCATCAAAGAGGGACCCAACCTGGAACTGAGGAGAAATTTCCTGACGGCGAGAACGGTTAATCGGTGGAAGCTACCGGAAGCTTTTAGGAGTACGAGATTGGACCTCCCCCCCCCCCCCAGGCTCCCTTCAGAGGCTCTTCCTGTTATTTTGTAATCCCACAAGAAGATGTGGGCATCGCCATTCTTCCCGCAAAGCATCTTTCTCTCTCCCACTCCAGAGGAGAGGAAATTCCTGGGACCTCTAGTGGTTAGGCCAGTTCCTTTCAGGGATTGAACAAGCACAGAAAACGGTCAGAAATTGGAATCCACAGAAAAAGTGAAGGGACTCTTAAACCCAAAACAGGCGCTGCCGTTTCCTCTGCCCGCTTTGCTCCCATCGGGCCCGCCCGTTGCTTCGGGATCGATTCTTGCCACCTCCCGGCCGTTCCCTTTTTCGGGATCTCATCCTTTCTACCCAGGCGCGGCTTCCTCGGCCTCCCGTCCCCTCCACCTGCTCTGCCTTCCGGCTCTCCCAAGGGTCAAGCCAGCCCTTCGGTCCTTGAGCGGCCTGCGTGGCCCTTCCGTGCCCGTCCTTTCTTCTCCCGAGTCTTTTGCTCTGCGATTGTCCAGACGTCCCACTGTTCCCACCGAATTTCTCGGCCCCTTGACGTGCCCGGCTTTCCTTCCCACGTGAAAAGGTGGGCGGAAGCCCATTTGTCAGCCTGCCATTTTTGCTCCTTGCCAACAGACCCCCCCAAACTGCCCCACATCCTATCATCCTCTGAGCCTTTTACCTCTTCTCCATTCATTCACCCCCCCCCCACTTTCTAGAAAAAGGCCAGCCGCTCTCTTCTCTCTGTCCCCCTGCGCCTTTGCGGATCTCAGAAATGCTCCCCTTTGTGGGTCTCGCGTCACTCCGATCTTCGTGGCCCTCTGAACCAGCCACACCCACACAGCGCCATGGAGCCCCGCCTCTGCACACACGAGGTGCGGTGCGTTCAGCCACAGGCTTTCTAGTGCTCGGTGGAGTGTTCCTTAAGCCAGGGCTTTTCAACCAGTGGTACAGGTACTACCTGTGGTACATTGGCACCTGGCAGGTGGTACGCGCCCATCCTAGAAAAGTGGTAGTGGGGGAATGAGCTGAACGGGTGGCAGCACCGCACGAGCCTGAGCGAGAGATGGCTGGAGCTGCAGGGCTGTCAGGGCTCAGCAGAACCGCTTCTTCGGGGCTGTCAGGGGTCAGTGGAAGCACCAGGATCAGCACCAGGTTCCAGCTGGAGCTCAGCACTGATCCTGGCACTTCTGCTGAGCCCAGAAGAAGCGCCAATCAGCTGGAATGTTGCAGCATCTCCAGGATCTCATGATTTACATTCAGATGCTTGGCAACTGATTCATACTTATGACGGTTACAGTGTCCCAGGGTCATGTGAAGGGACCAAAACCTGCTGCAACCACCCAGCAGATGGGGGGGGGGAATAAAAACCAAACACCCCCCACCCCATCCCCGCTGCCAATCCTCAACAGAAATGCTCACAACAATGAAAACCTCGGACAGGAGGAAGAGCGCCACCGGGTGGGCGGGCAGGCATCTTGCTCGGCTGTGGCTTGGGGGGCACTTTTTTCAGTGCCACTGTAATTTCAGTCACTAAGCAAACTGTTGTAAGTCGAGGACTACCTGTACTTTATCACTTTTTTCCTTTTGGGGGGGGTCATCAAGTTTTTGACCCCTTGCTAGGCGACTGGTGGTCCTCAGATGTTGCCATATCCTAAAAGTGGTACAATGGGTGATAAGGTTGAAAAGCCCTGCCTTAAGCCACCCCCCCCACACACTCTATAAACCCATTAAATAGCCACGGGGCTTCATGCGTTCCCTGGTGGGGGCTGAGCCACTCGCCCTCCTGAGTGGGCAGCTCCACCTTCCCATCTGTCCTGAGTGGGCAGCTCCACCTTCCCATCTGGAGTTTGGGCTCATGGATGCCTTTCCAGTCCTTGAACCGTCTTCCTCC